TGAGTTCAGTTTGCTTTGTAAAACCCCCAGAGAAGGCCTGCGTACTGTTTGTATTGTTCTATTGATATTGACTTAGTTTGCTCATGCTGTAAATTTGGCTTCTGTTGCCATCCTTCCCACAGTCAGGATAACCTATAATTAGGCCACATTGTGAAAGACAGAGGCAGGTAGGAGGGAGCCTAGGCAAGCGTCAGCCAGAAGTGGCTGAAAGAAGGGAAGCAACATGCTTGGAAGGTTCCCAGCAGTTACAAGGGGCCTCCTTCTATCAAGCGTACATCTCCTAGCTACTGTGCCAAGCACTCCAGGAATGGAAAGATGCCTTGGAAAACACTCATAAGAGTGCAAATGATTTGTGCACAAACTGGCACAGAAAACAGAACATGTCATTGCATACAATAAACCAATAATAAAGCCAAGGCAGTAAGAGAAAAGGGAGCAAGTCCTGCCTTCTTCCCAAACTTGGTTCATCGCTTCTTGAGTGGCAAGAAGACCAAGCCCACCCAGGTCTGCAGTGCTCATACAACAACGGCACAATGAGCTCATCAGTGGACTGCAACCTCATGGTAGAATAAAGTACCTGTGTCCATGGATGGAGGACCACTCATCTCAGGGGTTTTAATTTATACTAAGTAAAGCCTCACTGTTTTGAATAATAAATGCTTTGCTAAAAATGTTGTTTGAAACCTTATTTCAGTGGTGAAGCCTGGGTAGTAATGGAGACAGGAAGTTAGCAGTTGAGTACCAGCAGATGAAGCCATCCTGAAAGTTGCCATGAGGCAGTGTCTATGCAGGATGTGGCATTAGGCTGGTGGTTGTGCCTCCAGATAGGGAAATGCCCAGCCTTATGATTGAGCTGGAAAAGGATGGTGGGAAAGCTTCCTGAGGTAAACTTCATTATGGAGTGCAGAAAAACTTGGGCAGGGCAGTAACAAGCAGAGCAGAGCATCCACGAGTGAGCAGCAGCTCTGACAGCAGCCATGTGGGTACAGAGGTGGGGAGTTCCCTCACCCAAAGTGACTTTTCCCTGAGTAGCACCTTTTCTAAGTGTAGCGACTCAACATAACTTCCCAGTTCCACAAACCCAATTAATAATGGATAAAAGACTAAATTTTGTACTGTGGCTTTTATAAAACAGAAATTCAAGACCATTTATTAAAAAGCCTTGAAAATGAAGGATTCCAACAATCCTGCCCAGCATATACATAAAGGCCTTCAATGTAGCCTGTCTCGAAGGGGCCATCCACTCCCCTTTAAAGCTGAGGCTTAGTTTTTTTTAGACAGTGTGCCTCATATCCATGCCTGTTCTAGGCTTCATTTCAACATTAGTTGAGTAGAGACAGCTGAGAAATAAGTTCGACCCAGTTCTGTTAACATGTCTCTTAGGCAGAGGGGAGATCTGATAGTGAGCTACAAGGCAGAGGGTACCTGCAAAAGAAAGAGAAGGCAAGCACGCTCCGAGAGCTGAGCAGATGTGCCCACCCACGAATGAGAGCTGGGGAAGCACTCCAGATTCAAGGTGACACTGGCTCTTCCTGTGACAACCAGGACTTCTATCCTGCCTGAGGTCTTTCATTCTGGATACTATCAGCTGTAAGATATGGAGTACTATCACTTGTTTCAGAGGATTTAAAGCATGTTAAACAAAAACAGTCTTATTTCGTGGTTAAAATGTAAAGCCACTTGACTTAAATGAGGGCTGGAGAATCAATTCAGTGGTTGTGAGCATTTGTTGATCGTGCCGAGGCCCCAGGTTCAGGTCCTGGTCTTGGGAATGAGAGCACCTCTTCACAGGGAGCCAGGGCACGTGCTCACCCCTCACCTCACGGGGAACTGCTTCCTGCGGGGCCTTGGGAGCAGCTGGAAGTCAGTCAGACAGGGCTCACCTCAGAGGTTTCTGTCACAGGGAGTTTGCTTGCGAGAGTGAGTCTTAGGTAAGAAGCCATCACTATCTCTACCAAAGAGGATGTTCATATTTTGAAACTACTTTAAAAAGTAACTTTATAGACTTACATGCAAGACATAAATATTAGAAGAATGGAAAATGTTAATTTGACTTAGGAGCAAAAAGGAGGGCTCACATCTGTCTTTTGGCTTTGGCACTTTTGTCATTTTGAGATGGACTTTTTGTCAGCATATGCCTGTCAGGGGTACCTCCCAATGCTCTCCAAAAGCTCAAGTCTTCTGTGAGATTCTCCTTTCCTCAAGAAATCAGTGAGCTCTACCAAGTGCCAGATATTAAAAAGTCAGAGCTGAGGCGTAGTTATGCACACAGCAGGGCCAGAGGCCAGTTCGAGATGTGCCACTTTCAGAGGATCCTCTCCCACCACCTCTGGTTCAGGCCTGGCACGGAATGCTAGATGTACCTGGGCCTGTCAGTCAAACGACTGAGCCCAAACAGCCAAGTTCAATCCCAGTCAGCAGTCACACACACAGTGAGTCAGAAGCTCCGAGGAGTTCCCTTGAAGGATCAATCAAGGGCCAGTGTGTTTGAACATGCAGAGCAGTCAGATCTGAAGGAAACTCCTGCTATTCAAATCAAGGTTCCACTAGGTCTACTGAGGGTTTGGGGAAAAGAAAACAGTGGCTACAGCTCACTAAGGAAGTCAGAGGGTAAGTTTTATAAGACTAAGGTGCTTAGATTCTGAGGTTACTAGAAAGACCTGTGGGAAGAAATGATTTGGAAGACCCATGTGATTGTCTTTGCAACAGCCAGAATACCAAGGCAGCAACCTCACAGAGATACAGACAATGTGAAAACACTTGGAAAATGGTTTAATGTTTTACAACAGAAATTGCAACTGTACAGTTACAGTAAGTTTAATATATATAAAAATTACAGCAGACAAATGCATCTACACAAACCCACCATTTCATTCTGATTCACTGGCACCCACACAATCTCTCCCAAGCCCTGGCCCCTCTGCCAGCCCCAGAGGGGGAATCACATAAGGGGCACTTTTAAAGAGACAGCACCGCTCATAGTCCCCACCACTTCCCCAGGCCTCTGGAGGATCAGCTAAACCCCAACAAATAGAATTGCTTGTGTTTCACGTTTCCCAGGGGGCACAGATAACAAGGACCAACACTCCGAGTTATCAGCTGACTTTTGTAACTATTCCCATGGGAGGAGAAATGGCTACAGACGCTCAGGGGCAGTGAGGCTACACAATAGCCACCCAGACTGCAAAGTCATCTTAAGGAGAAATGTAAGAGGACACCCAATAACTACTCAGGAATTCTCACTGCCTATTACAGCTGCTGGGCAGTTCTGAAAAGAATCACGTACATCATATTGTAAGTTTCCACAAAGAAGAACTCAAAGTCACATTATAAAGTACACAAAATAACATTTGGGGAGGCCAAGGTGACAATTTCCCTTGTGGTCCTCCCTTGACAACAGTGGAAAAACACCCCTGAATCAATAATTAAAAAGGGGGGGGGAGTGGGGAGTTAAGATATTTAAAGACAGAAATAAACATCTTTAGAAAAACACAATCACTGTCTCTTTAAAACCAGACCCCAGCTGGGCAGTCATCAGTGACTCCACACTCGTGTGGACACCGTGGAGATTATTACTGAATAGTATGTACACTCAGAACCTTTCATTTTTATTACGAACACCTAGGCAGTGAAAACTGTTATGTTAATACATACAGACACACCCAAAACATACAAAAATACTATTATTTCAAACTACCAAGAATAGGATAGAGCAAGTTTTCATGCTATGACTTTAAGAGCATTACACTGAAACAAACAAGAAGTTAAATGACATTTTTCTTTTAATATCCTGGAAATATACCAAAATATACATCTAAGCTTTGGAATTACTGAGGTTAGACTAATGCAAGTGCTGGGTAATCGTACTTAATACACAAGTCTAAGGTTCTGCAGGAAAGAAATTGTCTTTGGTATCTGCATCAGGCTAATATTAACATTTGGATTTTGCTTTGGGATAGAGCTTGTATGACCCTAGAACCAAATACCCCCCTCCCCCAATGAACTGAGATTAAAAAGATCCATGTAAAAATCTCCTTCATTTGCGAACCCCCACCCCACCCACCCCAAGTTAAAAAGTCACAGGCGTCTACCTAGCACAAGGTTATGAAATACAATGCATAGTTGCACAGTGGTGCTGCAAAAGGAAACAGAACTATAAACAAGAAAAGAAAAGTTTGATAATTGCTCTGTATGTTTCCTCACAAACGGGATAGCCACTTCCAAGCAGTTCCAGTAAAGAAAAGAGAGAGAAGGCTCAGAAGGGCCCCTTGGGTGTGTAGACCCAGCCCCAGAGGTGAAAGCACCCAGCAGAGCAGCCAATCCTGTGCCAGTGTCTTCAGCGTCCCCATTCTGTGGAGTGGTGGCCATCATGTAGCAGCTCCCAGCTCTAAGGCCTTGTGCTAAGCTCTGGTGATGACCCTGGTTGTTGTCAGATGGGTTGTGGTGATGGGGTTTTGGCTTTGGAAAATCTCATGTGCCAGTATTTTTCATGCATGTTCTGCTCACAGCTGGCAAGAGTCAAAACTACTGAGCAGGCACCTGAACAAAACTCTCAACTTGGAAAAAAAGCTTGCTTGCCTTTTTGAGCTGGTCAGAGGCGTCTCCACCTGCCCTTGGGCATGTCTCCAAGTGCCAGGACGCCACAGACTGGATTGAGGCTGAAGACTTCCCTTTTCTTTGGTTTTTTTGTTTGTTTTGAGTTTATACAATCATTAAGAAATCTTTGGTTTTGGCTGGAAATGGAAAAACAAAACAAAGAAACCACCCTCCCCTGGCTTATAGCAGCAGTGTTATGACCTGACCTGGTTAAGCTTCTTATTTATCCCCCCAACTTTGGGAGTGGGGATTAAAAGTTGAGAACTACATTCAAAGAAAAGGTTGAAAGGGCCAGGAACACAGCTTCCAAAAAGCCCATTGGATATAAGATTGTCAAATAATAATAATTATTATAATAATATTAACAATAAACTTAAATATTTGGTGTTTTTTTGTTTTTGGTCATGTCACACAGGAAACAAGAGAAATGTGTATGCGGCAGTCAGCTTAAATGAACCTTTGGGTGTCCTTTCTACCAAGTCTTGGCAATGAGCAGAACCCCAATGTTCCAGAGGGGAAGGGTCAGTCTTGACCCCACTTGGAAAAGGCCAAGGACAGAAGTTGTTGTGTGTCTAGCAGTTGGAAGGATGGGGCAGATGGGAGAGAGGAGAGCTGGCAGTCTTTGAAGGCAAGGTAGTGGGGGAAACATAGGAGACCTGTGAAGATCCCTGACAACAAAACAAACAGGAGATTGCAATTTGCCCTAAGTTTGTAGTAGCTTCAAAACAGAGACATTCAGAGGCTTAGGGGCGGGGCTCATCCCACCCTAGGCGACAGGTCTTATGATGCTATAGGCCAGAGTTCATGTTGCTGAGAAGAGGGAGGGCAGACTTGGCAACTCTGTAGGGTCAAGAGGAACTTAAAGCAAGTTACTTACTCACAAGTTAGAAATGAGGTATACGACAGCTCCTGGACAATTGGTGGGCAAAAAACCCCCACACTTACTCACCTAGCCTTCACTACTACCACAGAGAAGAGGAATGACTGAGGTCCACTCTGGGAAGAGGTACTCCCCCAGTGAGTCCTCCTGTGGACTGAGTAATGCACACATTCCCATGGAAGCAGAGGTAAGGAGTGGGAAGAAGGAAGTCTTTCTCTCACCATCTGGTCTTAGAGGAGACACCATTTACCATTTATATCGTATAAAGCCAATGTTGTAATATTGTCAGTCTTAGCAAACATGCCACCCCCACAATGTTTGCAATTTTAAACCTAACCAGGCTAGCACTAACTAGTTTACTTTATCCTTATAAAACATGTGCCTTCTGCAGACTCATGTAGGAATGGAACCCAAGACACACTGCCCCCAACCAACCTAGCACAGTGCTTCTAAGAGAGACAGTCACACCAGTGTGGGAAAGTGCATTTTGTTTCCGCCATTAATTTTCAGACCTGAGACACTCTCAGGGCTGGATGGACACTGACCGTTTTTATCTAACGAGATCACATAAGGAGCTTCCATGCAGATGCTTCCTTGTTGAAACAGCACTGTAGCCAGCTGTCTTGTCTGCCTGCAGACCTTGGGATACAGCGATGGCGATCACTACCACTGGCAATTTAGGAGAGAAGCTCTAAGCTGCTTTTGTGAGGTTGTGGTTATGTTAAACAATGATGAACAAGTAAAGAAAACACGGGAAAACATTACAGCAGACCTCAGTTTCTCCCTTTCCCCAGTAAATTAATCTGGGGTTCTTAACTTTCTGACAGTGTCCTGGGTTTAAACCAGAAGGTGGCAAGCGTGGTGGAGTCCCGTTCAGTGTGGGCAGACTCAGGGATGCAGAAGAATCATAAACGGCTTCCCTCCCTGAACCCTGGAGCTTCACTTTCACAGTCGAAATGATGTTCATGATGCATATTGTTTTCCCACAGCATTTGTTTCAAGTGCTCTTATTTTAATATCTCTATTACCATATAAACCTACCTAATGCTTTGAAAAGTCACACGACATTAACACTACTTTTATATAAATGTCAGAATAATAACAAGTAAAGCTTTCATGAAGTTTAGCAACCCAATCACGTTTGTTGGAGCATTAGTAACACGTGTCTTTTCCTTCGCTCTCCCTATGTTTATTTATCAATAGTATGCCTAAACAATGAACTTCTTAATTTCCCAGAGGCCATATCTTAAAAACACAGTAGAACAAAACAGCTCTACAGGAGAGTAAGAGAACATCATTTGGCTTTAATGTAGTCTGCTCTTCATAATTAAATATTGACTGTTATCTAACAACCTGTTATCTAACAAGTTGGATGGACTAGTTTTATTTGTAAGAATTAGATAAAGAGAAATAAAAATTCTACTGCTATTTTTTTTTGCACTCCTCAAGTTTCTTGCTCAGTAAGAATATCAATGTCACGCTGAGCAATTCTAGTAGTGTCCACAGAGCAGCAGGGAGGAAGAAAATCAATCTCTCTGCGAAGCCAGAATGACCAATGAGACATCTTTCCAAAAGTGAGGAAGGAGTGAAGGAAAGGAGAAGAACAGAGACAAGGTAAAGCTTTTCCTAACTTAAGCATTTTGCTCTATCCTCTGACTATTTGGAAAGCTTAATGATAAGCAACAGTACAGCAGTGTCTTTGGCATCAAAATCAAATCCCACTCAAGTTCTGTGAGCTGGGACATTTATTAAAAAAAAATAGTTCTTGAGATAGTTAGTATTAGAATTCAGGGAGTCAAGAAAGTCTGTCCCAGAATGAGGCAGAAAGGTTTTTAATTTTTCCCTTAACCAACATAGTTTTGCACTTCCTCCATCTCATCAACCAATCCTTAAACGCCACACCTTACTACAGGTGACAAGTGTGTGGTTAGCTTTAAACTTCTTGATTTTTCTTTTGTGTTTTGGTCTAGACAGAATTATCCTTGAAATAAGAAAGAGAAATAAGGTTTAAAAAATACTGAGCTACTACTAGCACAGCATTCACTAACATGACAGAGGATGACTCACTTCACCTTAATTTTCCTAGATCAAGATATATCACTTACCTCCTCCTCTCCATTCCTCTCCAAATTCCTTGGGCACATGTCTCTATCTGTCTCTTTTCATCTGCGCAGTTGGACATGCACACACTCTTCCTTTGCCTAGGCTTTAGCTATGTACAGAGGTAATGGATCATTAGGAGAGGCTGGTAGGTCTGGTGGGGGGGGCATGGCAGCCACAGACATGAGGGTTGTAAATCTGCCCTTGGGCACCCTGAACCTATTGGACACCCCACATGTCACCTGCATGCCTCTGCACACTGTGCTGCATATCAGATGACAGAGGCTTCAAACCCCCTCCCAGTCACAGGGAATATCAAGTTTCCTTTGGCAAGACAGATATAAAGAAAAACAAACACATACGAGCAATATTTTCCTTCTAACATAATCAATTTCTCCTTTCTCCCACTCCAACCCCCCCCAACCCTATAAACAGGATCCCGAATACATACAGCATCAATCATGTTTATCAACCATAATAAACATTAGTTCAACTAAATACTACAGCTAGAATTATTTCCACTATTTATAAAGATTTTTTTCTTTCACTTATTTGGTTTTTACGTCTAAAACCAGTTCGTTACAATGCTAAGCTATGCTGAGGTATTTTATGAAGGTGCCAGAAGCTGTTACCCACGAGCATTATTCTCACAGATGAAGGTACCACCATTCAAAGAGAAAAAGAAGGGAAGGAAAAAGAGGCAAGAGATCCAGATCACAGAACTGACCATGATTCACTCAAGCTCACTACTTTTAGAATAGGCCAAGATCAGAAAACTCAAAATAAAGAACTATTTTAAGAACACAATGCCGGTTAGAAGAAATTCTAGACAACACCATAACTGATGGACAACTTCCAAGGAACCCCCCTGCCTCCTGGTAGAACCTTATTACACTTACTCTCCATGGATGAGGAGGAGAAGGCAAAGAGATTCTATCAACCTTTAATAATGAAAGCAACTCATTTCTGCCTTCTCTATTCAGGCCTGTGTGTACATTGTGGGTGCCATCATGTAAACCTATAGTGGCTCTTAGTTTTAGAAAAACAGCAAAGAATTATTTTTCCTCCTCAAAAGTGAAAATAATATTAAGAGAGTCTTATTTTTACAAGTATCTGAAAATGATTTCAAAATATCCAGGGATTTCTTTATATGAACAATATAACATGGTAAATGCTGTTCATACCCACAAATCAAGGTGAACTCATAACAGTTATGAATAAATTATTAAATCAATTTCTGCCCACTTGGATAATTATGGGCTTTAGGTCTTTTAGTATTTCTCCCCCATTAGCACGGTAATCTTGAATGTTTTCAGTTCCAATTAAGTACACTTTACACTCATCAACTTCAGCAGCCAATTTAAAGTTTCTGAACAAGCTTTCCTGCTGAGTTGCTACGGTCCTTCTTTCTGTCTTACCAAGTGCTCAGATAGGTAGACTGGTCAGAGTTTCTCAGGGCCAGGGTCAACTCAGGTTGCCAGCAGGAAACTGTCTTCTGCACACTAGGGCAGCATTTCTCTTATCTTGGGAGAAACACGAACAGGTGTCTCTTTGTCTTCCTATTTCAATGACCTTATTTTTCTCTTGGTCAAAGAAGATTTGTGAGGATGACATGGTTGAGCAGAACTTAGACTGTGAACTATAGCATTTTTTTTTCTAACATAATATCCCTATATTTACAAATGTACCTGGCATTTCCAGCAAGTTAAATGTTATCATTTAAGCTAAACTGAAATACTGTCAAGCAAAAGCCTGTGCTTCTGGATAATAAAAGAGATAATTTTCCCAAATAATTGAAGGATAGACACAATAATATTAAAGAGGTATAATTGTGCTTTTATCCTAAAGCAAATGAATGATGACGTAGAACAAACTGGCAAGATGATCACACCCAAAATCTTTTAATTAATATTGTCCCTTTAAAAAAATTCTAATAAAGCTTATGAAGCATCAATAGGTCGGTCCTACACAAGATGAAAGCTGGATTCCTTTGGTTCTATTCTGGAGTAATAAGTTACACACACAGGATGGTAATAACCTTCCTGACAACAGATAAAAGGAAGTTTCCTCATTATAAGGAGCTGCCTATAGAACTTCAGAGACATTCAAGCTAACAGAGCATTCTACTGATTCCTAGAACAGTAATACTGCTCCTGTGAGAAGCCTTATAGATCCTTCTGTTGTCATTCAGATTTACACAGGGTATAAATAAAGTTTCTGCCTAACTGCATTGCAAAACAGATTGAACAATTACATTCACTACTCTCCAGGAAGGGCCCATTATCACAGGCAAATAGAGTACCCTTAAAAATGCATTTAAAATTAGTCTTTGGCTTACTATGTGTTAACTAAATTCAGGACTGAAATAAAGTATGCATCAATGTCAGGGGGAGGAGAAGAATGAAATAATGAGTTATAATAACCTGTCTGGTGTTTCTTCTGGAAATGCAGAAACTCAACCGAATGCCTTTTATTCAAACGACCCTTTAGCTTCTAGACTCCCTCATAAAAGGCAACACTTTAGCTTAAAAGATGGATCAGTCAATTAAAAAAGCATTTGAGATTTAAAAAAAAAAGGTGGTATCAACTGAAAAGTAGGCAAGGTGTTTGTGAAGCAGAGACTGAGAGAATATCGAGGGTGGTGATGAAGGTGGCTCTAAACTGAATGCCCACCAGCAGGTGTTAGTAGTGTGTCATGTACAAAGTACCTTTCGTTTTACAATTTAATTTTGAATATATGAAAAAGGAGAGGGAAAAATTAAAGTTATCTTCTAAAGATTTTTTTTTCTTCTCAATACAGCATTTATGCTGGTTTTAAAAAAGGTCTATCCTCAAATGAACTACATAAAAAGGCAGTATTTCTTTCTCGAACCAATTAGAAACTACAGACAAAAGGAGGGACTGACAAATCACTGGACTGACATGTAAAGTTAATATCGTCTTTAAAAATCAAAGTCTGTAGGGGAATCTTATTTAGGAAAGATTCTTTTCACCATATAGGACTAAATAAAACAGCTTTTCTCCGTCCTTTTTAACTCCCTGGGCCAGGTCCCTTGAGACAATACTTACTTTGGTAGCGATTCTGGGCATTAATGCTATAACTTCTAACCTGGTACGGTGAGCAATCAGCATTTTTCTCCCTGAATTCTTTCTCCTAACTTCATCACTCCCAAGGGAGGGTCTCTCTGCTAGGAGGAGAAACAGTATTGACAGCCCTATAATCATGTGCACAGATTAAGGTTAGAGTGTTAAGTCAAAATAAAGATTAAATTCACAGGAAAGAAAGAACTGATGGAGAGGAGAGAAATTATTAACTGACACAGCCATTCTATTTACACACTGACCTAAACAAACTAGCTAAAAATCATGGTAATGTCTGCCCAGAGGATATTACAATTTACCAACATAAAAGATAAAGACAAGCAGCAACTTTCACATAAAATTAATCAAGAAAAATGAGTAAGAAATTGTCAGTAGCATCTATCTCCTCAATGTATTTGAACTGCACATTATAACTAGTCCATTAGTACAGCAGCTTGCTAAAAATTGACTTTGGTTCAAGCTTAGTTTAAAGAACAAAACAAAACAAAACAAAACAAAACAAAACAAAAAATACCCACACCATACAAAATAGGTGGATGAGCATTTGTTAGTTTCCCTGCTTGCAGTTCACTGATTTTTAAAGGAAGTTTAGGAAAAGTTAAGGGTCAGAGAAATTCAGGGGTAAAAATTAAATATCCAAGAAATAAAAGGAACTAAAGAAAAATTTAAAGGGGGACCAAAATGATTCTGATCTTTAATACTAATATGACCTTTTCTCAATTGAAACACAAAGAAAGATACACATTTGTGTCTGTGTTACTGCCTTTCTGAGTAACAGTGCAGAGAGACAAATGCACAGAATTCAAGTTTCCTATGGGCATAAGCAAAGCTATCAGAAGGAAAGTCACCTCAGCTCAGTGCAGACCACCAGAAACCGAAGCAAGCACCTCAGACACCAATGGGGACCTTAACTCCAGTAAGGGCAACTTAGATGAACTTCACTGCGATGACCTAGTCATCTGTGAAAATTCTGGTCCAGATAGTATAATAATAGGGCATTGTCAAAAGGGGGAATTTAATCTCTAAATTACCCTCATCCATCTTCATCCATTTTCACAAGCTCTTCCTTTTCAATGGGCTCATTTATGTAGTCTAGAAACACCCTGAAAACAATTACAGGACAAATCACTTTTTTACATCAAATAAGAGATGTATATTGTCACCAAATCTACCTAGCAGGGGCATAACAAACTGGAGACTCTAACAGGCTGCAAAGTTCCTGCTCAGCCTTTTTCTGAGGTTCTATAGATCCTTTGCCTAGTCAGGAAAGTGCCTCTGTCAGTCAGAGAACTGAGGAAAGTCTGAGGCTTGGAGGAGCTTCTGAGCCACTCGGCGGACAAGAAGTCTGTGACTCTAGAGCACTGGTTCTCAACCTTCCCAATGCTGTGACCCTTTAATACAGTTTCTCACGTTGTGGTCATCTACCAACCATAAAACTATTTTCATTGCTACTTCATAACTGTAATTTTGCTACTGTTATGGACTGTAATGTAAATATCTGATATGTAAGTAGTCTTAAGTGACTCCTGTGAAACAGCTGTTTGATTCCCCCCCCCCCCCCCCCGCCAGGGCCGAGACCCTCAGGTTGAGAACTGCTGCTCTAGAGGAAAAGGTGGCAGATTCAGATTATTTATACTGACCTTTTTGGAATATTAATTAGTAGAAAACAGTCCAACAGAATATTTTTAAGAAAACAAAGACTTGTTTCTCAGTTTCAGTAATCAATTTGATCTTGACCAAGTAAGTCAAAGGAAGTTTGGATGGAAATTTTCCATAAAATAAAAACAAACAAGCAAACAAACAAACATCAACAGTAGGAGCATTAGAAAAAAAAAGAGAGAGAGAGATAGATAGAAATCAGGAGAACCACCAAGTCAGGTGTCTGCAGTAGTCTTTGCTCTCCGGAACCAAAACCTGCCCTGCAACAGGCACAGCTGTTCCCATTGAAAGTAGCAGAAAGCAGCACTGTTGCACCACAGGGTTCGGGCCTCGGGGTTGCTCAATGATTAGGGGTGAGTGAGAGCTACAGTTCAGCAGGAGCTCTTCCTACACAAGAGTGCTCCAAAGGCACCACCTGATGGGGAGGAGCGTGTGTGGAGCAGGAGTGTGCACACACTGCCTTCAGCTTCTGCACCAAGCCTCTTGCATAAGTGGCAAAAGAAAATCATTTTCTAGCACCTCTGTAAGAGTCATCAAGGATAAGGAAACCAGCAAGAACATTCCTGGAAGTTAAGAATGCAATTCTCCCTTAACCCCAAAACCCTCCCTCCCCACAGTGTGGGAGCTCACTGAAATAGGATCCAGGAGCAAGAGATAAACATGTCCAATATATATATATATATAAAACAATAACAGAGATACAGTAATACAGGCCTGCCTAAATTGTACCAGTTAAGAAAGGAACCCCCAACACAATTGATACGATTATAAACACCTTGTTATGACTTAATGGCCTGTACAACAGACCTATAAAAATGATTTTTTTTAAGAAAAAAAAAAAAGAAAGAAAGAAAGCACAAGACACCCTTCCTCTACTGGAACTGGTCACCCACCTTCGCTTGTCATCATGACTGCTGGAAATGGGAAGTAGTCCTTTCATTTATTTTTGTCTGTCTGTTTTGGATTTTTTGTTTGTTTTTTTTTCTTTTAAATTTTTGGTTAGAAAGTTCTCTAATCCATGAAGCAATCCTGAAAAGACATTGTTTTTTTTCTTTTTTCTTTTTTATAAAATTAGGCAAACGTTGTTCTGTCTCCATTCTTTTTTTTTCCTGGTAAGTGTATTTTTTCTTTTCTCCATGTCTCCCTCATCTTCACAACATGGTGGGAGGAAGCCAATCACACCTGTCTGTTTCTTAAACAGCTGGCAGCCCATTATGCTGCAGTGACGAAGCCTAGCTCTGCACCCAGCTCACTGTGCCTTGGAGGCAGTGGTGGTGGTGGAAGCAGCTCCACTGGCAGAGGCTACTGTGAATAGAGAGTTCTGGATGGATTCAGCAGAGGTGGAGGAGGCATGAAGGCTGACTGTAGGTGCAGAGTTCCCTGTGGAGGCTGCAGCTGCAGAAACCAAGCTTACTGGGTTGCTGGTGAGCAGAGAGAGGTTCTGAGGATTTAGGAACAGAGGGGCAGTCACGATGTTAGGGGCTCCTCCTGCATTGGCAAATACCAGGTTCCCAGTTGCATCCAGTGACGTTATTGGAAGAGAACCACTAGAAGCAAGAGCTATAGACAAGGACCCAGAACAAAAAGAACATTAAATTTCATCCTGGAGAAGCCAAACAACCCATCAGCAAAGTTCTACTCAGTAGCAGAGTATACTCTTCACTGACTATATACTCAATTCTAATGCTCCAATTATAATGTTATTATAATGCTATACTTAAATTACAATGCTATACTGACATCAACTCAAGTTTATTTATAATTTTGAAGCATCCAAAGAAATGAAAGTCAGTTTAATAAGTATAAGCAGGACAAATGAATGGGGAAGAATCAATCATGTTTCTATCTTTTAAGTCTCAAGTTTATGCCATTTACTTACAAAGATTTGTTAAAATCCAACAATTCTGTCTTTTCAATGAAACTGACTTAAAACTATCTCCAAAAGACTATTAGTTAAAGTGACTGAGTATTAAAAATACAATTAGCTTTTAACAACTCAACTACCATTATGTAACACTATTTGACTAAATTTGTATAAGATGAAAGCATCTTTCCAAAGGCTTTAGTCATGAAAATTTATATATTACTAAATAAAGAAAAAGGCACAATTTAAAAATTTTGTTTTTATACTTCTAGAGGCAGAACACTTGACTCTTATGAACTGTGCAAAGAATACTGTCTATTATAGGAGGAGATACAACACACAACATTGTGTGAGTGATCTAAGGCTAAGATTTGGTAATTAATGGTGCAAAATTTTCCTATGATGCTTCTCCACACGACATATCACTAAATGTTATTTCTAGTTGAAATGAATCCCTGATTTTGAAAATGAATATACATACAATACACAACCCTGAGCCCTGATGCAGACTGACAGACATGTCCTGGAGTCAAGGCTCAGGGTCACAGACTCTACGTCTTCCTGGAGAATGCTCTACAGTCACTCATGCCTTAGGAAAGGCATAAACTGTAGGCCAGAGACAATGCCCCACGCAGGAAAACGGGACTCATCCCAAATATTCTAAAGGATGCTGCTGCACAATGAAAGCACTACACATCCATCTAACCATCAGTCCAGGCACAAGTTGGTCAAATAGAAACCAACAAAATATGAGGGCCTTAATTCGACTTCTATCTGTAGTTTAATATTGGTTAGACGTATACTCACTGAAACGTGCCAGGACCTGCCAACTTGTTTTTGATCCCAATAATTCTTATTTAATTATAAAGTATTTTAGGAAAAACCCAAAAATCAAAAAAAAACCCCAAAAACCTCTTTCAGTCAAAACAGGAATTTTCCCCAAATAAACATCTTTAGATCCTGAACAAGGCAAGGCAGATCCTTCACTGTATGAGTTAAGTATCACCTTAAGTAACAATGAGAAAAGGCTGACATGGACCCAAATGGCCTTGGAAAAAGTGTTTATAATCCAAGAACATATGTCATACACTGATGGAAATATACAGGGGGCAAAATTTAACAAGAGTGAAAAATATCCTGGAGATCTGAGGGATGTACGCTACCATTTCACATGGCTATCTTCTGGTGGGGATAGAACTGGGGAGTTTTACTTGAAGAAGCTTGCCTTGAGATAGGTTAACATCAGAAGGAAATCTATCTTTCTATTCACAGAGAAAGTAAAGTACAGATTTCTTGGAATATACCAAACTATGCAATGTTTGTCGTTCTGACAAACTCATCTGTACATTCTTCTACAAGACTTTTTTTTTAATACAGGACATTTTGATCTTCAGGAACAACTTAATCAGCACTCAACTCTCTCCTCACCTTAATCTCTAACAATGCAGATAGCCTCCACAACACCCCCCTACACCCCCCCACACTCAGGTGCACGAAGCAAAAAACAAACAAAAAAATATATAAGTGCTACTGACCTTGAATAGTAGCCAGTGTGCTGTTGCTCATCAGGGCCGGGCTCAGAGCCCCGCCCAGAGTTCCTGGATTGAGACTGAGTAAGGCACCTCTGCAAGTGCAAAAGAGGAGTCACTCACTCTACTGCCACGTACACATACCTGTCATTTTGACAACATACCAAATTGATAATAAAATACTAAAGATAATAAAAAAAAACTTCAGCTTAGGAAAAATAGGGGTATCTTTGTTACTTTCTGTATACTTTCAAATGGTTACAAGTTACCGCTTCTTTGATATTTACTTGTATAAACAAGATTATGATATGCATAAAAATAAAACTTTTAGTCATTCTGACCTTTCTTTGGATTACTTCATTAATTTTTTTTGAAAAAACTGGAAAGGATAATCCTTATTCAACAATAAAAATATAAAATTACCATACTACACTCATTGCTTTTCTATTCATAATAGCTAGGAAATAAATGAAATTAACATAAACTGATGAATGGATAATAAAACTGGAACAAATATACAATGGAATTTTATTCAGCTGTAAAGAAAAATGAAGCCTGTAGGTAAATGGAGAGAACTGAAAAACATCAAGTGAGTAACCCGGGCCCAGCATGACAAAGCCTGCAGCAATGCTCTCTTTCATATGTAACTCCTAGCTTTGAATCTTTAGTTTATGTTTAACTTGGAGTAACTATAGGTCAGAAAGCCTGAAAGGGTCCATGAGATGGGGAGGACAAGAGGCCTTAATAGGGTAGGAGACAGATGTGTGGTATGAAAAGAAGAGGAGGGAAGTATGGGGATTAAAGGTTTGAGCAGAGATGGGGTGAGGAATGGTGATAGAGAAGGAAGGTGGGCCAACAAAAACTAAGGATTTATGAAAAGCCTTATGGAAACTTCCTATGTGTAAGCTAATTAAAACACATGATAAACAAATAACAGAAAGCAAGGCAGTGATGGCACATGCCTTTAATCCCAGTACTCAGGAGGCAGAGGCAGGTGAATCTCTGTGAGTTTGAGGTCAGCCTGGTTTACAGAGTGAGTTTCAGGACAGCAAGGGTTATTACACAGAGAAAGCCTGAATTGAAAACCAAACCAAACCAAAACCCAAACAAAAACCAGAGATACCCTACATAGGTGGACAATGTTGTTCCCAGAAGACACAAGTTATTAAACAAAAATCTCAGTGCCATTCATGGGATCCTTCCCTACAAGTTATTGGTCTGGGAGGTTCCAGAGGCTAGTTCTCTTATTTAAAAAAAAAAAAAGAAAGAAATGTTAAAACAAAACAAACACTATAGGCTAGGCTATTGCCACTGCTCTTAGTTGTCCTTCATAACTAGATTTTAAGACCCTACTACTGAACACACATACACTTAGGGTGCAGTATATAGAAACATCAATCTAGAATTGACAAGAAAATTTCCTCTATGCTGGCTAGCTTTCAAGGTGCCAAGAGGTGCTATATAAACAATGGGAGAGAAAAGATAGCAATAGTCTTATCCAATGCTAGATCCTGTGTGTTACAATACTGACCAATCAGGCAAAATATATTTATTGGTACAATAGTGGTATGACTGTTTCAGGGACAAACAATTGATTTCTGACTTGTGACCTATTCATAGAGGGAAACAGCCTGGTACTGTAAATCTAGTCAAAAGCCCATGGATGAGGAAGTCATGGACAAGAGGTGGGGTGGTAGCAGACACCAACTGTTGTTTTATTAAATGGTTACAGTGGATTGCCCTTTATAACTATTTATGTTAATACCCGCAGATCTATGATGCAGTTAACCCAGGCCCGAGAAGTTTGTATTTGCAGTGGACAATGATAAATGCAGACCCTTAACTGGTCAAATTATTGAGAATAAGTGACTGACTGTTGAGTATGCAACCTTAAGTAGGACATCTACATCAGGCCATCTTCCTAGCACCAAAACTCAGGGAATATTGAGGAAGATTTTTCTGGAGCAGACAGGGTGTAAGAGCTGGAACTGGGGAGTACTATTATAAAATGCTTTCTTCTAGACACGACAGTGCAGCCGCACACAATGATTATCTGAATAAGATCAAGCCAGCCAAGTTAGTGTGGATGGAGAAGGGCTCAAAAGGCTTCAACCCCAGTTGAGGAGCTAATGGCAGTTGATGGCTGCAGGAAGAAGGGGAATAATCTTTCACATTGGTAGGAGGGCTCTACATTCATGTGCACACAGGCACACTAATTAGATGAGCGACTTGAAGAAAGAAAGACAGGAAACACGAAGTTGTGTGTGTATGAGAGTTCAGGGCAGTTTGGGAGGAGTGAGGAATGGATATAATCAAAATAACATTGTATACAAGTACGAAATTATCAGAGAATAAAAACTATATGAAAATATATAAAACTAGACACGGCTTTACTCCAAGTTTTATCCATTTTTGAGAATAAGAAAGAAGGTAAACTACAATTTAATGAAGAAAGCTTAAGACTATGGAGAATTCTGAGCTCTCTTCCTGACTCTTATGGCTGAATTACTCATTGATTCAGTCCTGTGTTATCACGTTGAAATGGTAGTGTGGCTACTTAGAAACTTATGTTCATATCTGTAATCAAAGCAGTCTAGCTCAGATTTGCTGTTCATTTAAGATGGTGATGAAAAACCTTCCCTATGAGTTACAGTAATGGGTTCCTAGTTGTATGGTGGTTTGAAAGAAAACAGCACCCCGCAACAGGAGTGGCACTACTAGGAGGTGTGGTTTTGTATGAGTAGGTGTGGTCTTGTAGGAGGAAGTGTGTCACTGTGGGGGTGGGCTCTGAGGCCTCCTTTGCTCAAGCTATGCTCAGCTCAGTGTAGTAGACAATTCACTTCCTGTTTTTCTGTGGATCAAGATGTAGAACTCTCAGTTCCTTCTCCAGCACCATGCCTGCTTACATGCCAATATGTTATCCACCAAGAAGATAATGGACTGAACCTCTAAGACCATAAGCCAGTCTCAATTAAATGTTTTCCTTTATAAAAGTTGCTGAAGTCATGATGTCTCTTCACAGTGACTGAAACACCAACTAAGATATTCTGTTTTGGATGCAAATGGAATTGGAAAGTTTCTTACCCAGCAGCAAACTGTGAGGGTGCCATCAGGCCTGGGTTGAGTCCTGCAGCAGCAGCCATGGCAGCAAGACTGGCATTTGCTGGCAACTGTGCAGCTCCTTGGAGAGCAGCAGCAGCTGCTGTTTGTAAGCCAGATGCTGTCACCATCACCTGGCTGGCCCCGAGAGGAGAGGGAAGAGGCGTGGAGGTGGTCTGTGTTGTGCTGGTCTCACTGGCACTGGAGGCCTCAGAGGTGGAGGCTGAGGCAGAAGGGGAGGGACTCAAGGAGGGAGATGTGACTGCTGAGGAAGCAGGGGGTGCTGTAGAAATCACGGTGGCTGTGTTGTTGGATGTGGTGTCTGTAGTGCCTGAAAAGAGAATCAGATTAGGAAATGACATTCTGTAAATGTGTTTGGAAAACTAGTCATTTCATTCAGTATCTTGAATCAAGGCGATGATTAACCTACTATCCATTAAGCCTTAATTATTCTTTTTCTTAAGAATAACCTAGCTTTCTAGATATATTTCTACAGATAATAATGATGATGATGATAATAATAACAAGCATTTAAAAACAAAAGCTATCAGTCCTTCTTTAAGAGACAAGAGCAATAACACAACTCTGAAAGAAATAAGTCTCTCCCCTCCCCCAGCATCAATGTTCTATTTAAAAAAAAGGAAAAAAGGAAATGACGGGCTAGAGATATGGCTTGTTAGGTTAAGAGCATTGGCTGCTCTTGCAGAGGACCCAGGTTTGACTCCTAACACCAACATGGAAGCACACAACCATCTATAACTCTAGTTCCAGGAGAATCTGACACCAGACACAATTATACCAACGTTGGTATTATGAAACCTAACCCCCTTCATTATGTCTTCATAAATCTACAGGACCAAACAGTGTCCTCTTGCTGTGGTGAACCTGTCTGGTAGACTCAAAAGTACTTCCCCAGTTGCACCCTCTTCTAAGACCTAGCTAGCCCCTTGTTTTACAGGAAGATAAATGTACTTTCTTATTTCTCTTCTACAGGCAAAAATGTTTCAATGTACTCTGAATCTTTTCTTGACCAATTTTCCATTTTATGAAACCTAATTTTACCGGTAATGTTAAATTCTAAAACTGCCCATTTTCACAAAACTGCAAATGTTGAGGTCAAAAAGCTTAAATTATTACACTTTCCTCTTCACTGCATAATCAAATAAATCAGCACCTGGCTATGTCTTGTAGGCTTACTAGGACAATACTAGCCAAATTAGTGCATTTAATACAGGCTAGGAAGTGATGAGTTCAGAAACTATCCAGAGTTGTTTTTATCTAGTTGTAACATATTATCCAAATCCTAGGTAGGGATCTCCAATTTGAGTATCATGAAATCACTATGACATAAAATATCAACATGATCTTTAAATAAATCCTCCCAGCCATGGAGTCATATTTCAATTCATATACCTCCTTTATGCTCCAAATTCTTGGCAATTTAATTTACCTGAGCACTCTATGCAGGCTTTTAGGGCCTTAGCACCCTTAACAAGATGCTCTCACAAACCTTACAGGGTACTTAGTAGGCATTAGATCCAAGCACATGTAGGATACCTAGCATCTGTTTTCCACCCTTTTCTCCTTGTTTTTTAATTTTTTTTAAAAAAACCCCATCTTATTGAAGTATAATGTATATTCTATAAAACTTGCCCAATTTAAGTCTAAAGCTCAAATAACTTTTTATCAATTTCCAAAGTTCTTTAACTCTCACAAAATCCAGACTGTAACACTTGCACCGCCAAAAATTGAGATCCCTCATTCCTACTTCTAGCCACTTGCCAACCCTATCCTGCCTCCACAGATTGGTATTATTTAACATTTCACATACATGGAATTGAACAATATGTAATTTTGTGTACCTTAGGCTATTACTTTCAGTGTTCACTACACTGGGACAGGAGTCAACACTTAGCTTTTCGAGGATGAATTCTACTCAATGGTGCAGATATGCTGTGTGAACTTTGGCTTGTTTCCAGTTTGGGGTTGTTATAAATATGCACACACATAAGAGTTATGGTGTGGATATGTTTACATGTTTCTTGAGGAAACTGATTCATTGGATGATATATTTATATTTCTACCTTACAAAGAAAATGTTAAAGTGTTTTCCATAGTGACTGTACCACTTTACATTCTCCTAAGTCATGCACTACAAACTGTAGTTTTTATGATCCTCAAACCTCATCTATCTTTTGACTGCAGGCATTCAATGAATGTTTTAAATTTCCTAACAAGCAATACTGTTGAGCATCTTTTTCCTGTGCTGTTTTCACTTGTGTACCTTCTTTGATAAAGTATCCACTTAAATGTTCTGGGCCATATTTTTACTATTGAACTTTGGGTTTTTAGTATATTCCATATATAACTTCTTTTTTAAATGACACATGTTCTGTAACAAACATTTTCTTCCAATCTTTGTCTTGTGTTTTCATTTTCCTCAAGATGTCTTCTACAGCACAACAAACTTTGTTTTTCATGATACTCTATTACCTTTGTGTTTGTGTGTGTATGAGTACAGACGTCCACAGAGGCCAGAAGAGGAAACTGAACTCCTTGGAGCTGGAGTTACAGGTAGTTGTGAAATACCCACCACAGGTACTGAGAACTGAACTCAGGTTCTCTGCAAGAGGAGCAAATGCTCTTGATTGCTGAGCCATCTCTCCAGCACTGATTTGTGGGCGATGTATCTACGAGTCCTTTGCAGTACAAAATCATAAAGACTGCCTACAATTTCTTAGAAGTTCTAGGGATACATCAGTCATCTGACCCATTTTACTTGTCATGTACAAGAACCTAAAATAGTCTTTGTGCATTTTGGTACCCAATTGTTGCAGGAACATTTGTTAGGGACTTTGAATTGTCTTATCTATTTGTCAAAAATTAACAGAGGATAAATTAAAGCCTCCTCCCAACTGAGAGCTTTGTTTTATGTAATCTACTTTATGAATAGTTTATTCTTGCCTTTTGAAACCTGGCTATGTATATCCTCTAAGTTCATTCTTCTCAAGTTCTTTTCATATATATTTAAAAAGTAGATCCCCGTTATATTTACTTTAGAATAAGGTATCAGTTTATTGTTGGAAGTACGACTGTTGAATCGGAAATAATTAAACTAGAGACAGACAAGTGTCGTTTTAAGAATGCTGAAATGTGAAATGTCACTTAGAAGTTAATCTCAGGCCAGAGAATAACAGCAAAGTACTTGCCATACAAACATGAACACCATGTCTCATCCCTAGAAACCATGCACACAAACACGCACATGCACACACAAGCACACACACAGTGTCAGGTAAGGTGGTGTGGGCTTTCTAATTCCAGTGCTGGGGAGGTGGCAACAAAGCCCTGGGGCTTGCTGGTCAGCTAGCTCAGCCAAATTAGTGAGCAGCAGGTCCCAATAAGAGACTTGTCTCAGGGGAAATAGACAAGATCTGAGAAAATTGGGAGCATGGGGATGGGAGGAGGAGGGGAGGGCGGACAGAGAAGAGGAGGGAGAAGAGGAGGGTGGGAAACTTGAGGGAATGGGACAGTCAAGATAGGGAAGGACAGAAAGGGAGAACATGGAAAGAGATTCCTTGATTGAGAAAAACATTGTGGGGCTACCAAGAAACCTGGCCCTAGAGAAATTCCCAGGAATCCAAAGGATGACCCCAGCTAAGGCCCTAAGCAATAGTGGAGAAGGTGCCCGAACTAGTCTTGCCCTGTAGTCAAGATTGATGACTATCTTCATCCAGCAACTGATGTAAGCAGATGCAGATATCCACAGCAAGCATTGAACTGAGCTCCCAAAGTCCAGTCAAAGAAAGGGAGGAGTGATAATAAGAGCAAAGGGTCAAGACCATGATGGGGATACCCACAGAAACAGTTTACCTGAGCTAATGGGGGCTCACTGATTCTGGCCAGACAACAGGGGGATCAGCATAGGACCAAAATAGGTCTTCTGAATGTGGGTGACAGTTGTTTAGCTGGGACAGACTGTGGAGCCACTGGCTGTAAGAGCAGGATTTATCCCTACTGCTTGTACTGGCTTTTTCTGTAGCCATTCATTTTGGAGGGATACCTTGCTCAGCTTAGATATAGTGTGGAGGGGCTTGGCCCTGCCTCAGGGAAGTCTTATGCCCTTTGAGGATTGGATTGGGGGTGGGGAGGGGAGATGGAGGGAGCGAGAACTGGGAACGGTATGTAAAATGAGAAAATTTTTTTTAAATAAATTAAGGAGAGAGAGAAAGAGAGAGAGAGAGAGGGAGAGAGAGAGAGAGAGAGAGAGAGAGAGAGAGAGAGAGAGAGACTTGTCTCAAAAAAACAAAGAGCTGTCCTTAGGAACATTTGAGGGCTGACTTCCAGTCTCCACATGCATGTGCATCAGCATACACGTGTAAACACACATGCACAAGAGTTTAGTTTCAGCTAATTACTAGTTTTCTACATATATTATGCATAAATTATTTTCTTACTATCATTTTTGGACCACTTTCTTAGAGTACATACAAACACAACTGACTTCATATGTTGGTTTTGTATCACACAACAATAGGACAATGCTGTTACAATGTTAATGTTGAAACAAATTAAAAAATCAGGAGAACAAATGTCCTCAGCAGAAGCTGTTAGTCTTTGGCCATTTAAGTATGCTTTTTGCTGCAGGTTTTGAGTAGCTGCTCTTGATCTGTAGAAGCAGCTTCTTCTGTTTCAGATCAAAGAGCTTTTTATCATGAATGGGGTTGGATTTATTAATACCTTTTATTCAACTATCCAGGATTTATCTCAGTTCAATTTCTATTTTTCAATATGTTAATTGGTGTTCAGATACCAAACTGACTATGTATTCTTGGGGTCAATTAACTAGTCCTGATGAAAAATCTTCTTTTATATGTTGTCAGTTTTGATTTGCAAAGATATTCTTTTCTTTCCCCCTTCTTTCCTTCCCTTTCTCATTATTGGAGATTGAACTCAGGAACTTACACATGTCAGGCAGGTGGTCAACAATTCTCAGCTTCATCTGCTAAGATTTAGCTGAGAATTTAAAATATTTTCATGAGGGCTATGAGTCTGTATTTTTTTTTCCTAATGTATTTATCTAGCTTTTATTCAGAGTATTGTTTGCCTTGTTCAAAATAGTTTTTTCTTCTTTATATTTCAAAAATACCTGATTAAACAAGAAATTAATAACAAAAAGTTCCACAGAACACTATTAAAATCATCAGGGGCTGGGCTTTTATTTGTGAAGTTTTTAATTAATTATTGCTCAACTGCTTTTGGTCTATTGACAATCTGTTAGTTCCTAAGTTTTATGTCATTTCAATCTACACAATCTTTGTTTAGAAAGAAATTGTCCCAAGAACTCCAGTTTGCCACGTTATACAGCAGTTCTAAGTATAAACATCAAAGAACTGAAAATACATGCTCACACACAAACCTGAATATGAAATTCACAGCAGTAGCACTAAAAATAGCTAAAACCTGCTACTACTTCAATGCTATTGACTCAAAATAGTAAACAAAATGCTGCACATCCAGAGAATGGAATACCATTCAGCCCTGAAAGGGAAGTACTTATATATTTTACAATATTGATAAAGTTACTGAAAGGGCCACTTACTTGTATGAATTTATTTCTATAAATGCTCAAAGTAGGCAATACAATGAGATAGAGTAGAAGAATAATGCCTGGATGGGGGAGGACTAATAATTTATGGACTTATTCCAGTATTAGGTAATTATAACAGTTCCACATGTTTTCAGTATATCAAAACCCACTGAACTGAACACTTAAAAATTATACACTAAAAAATGTGAGCTATAAGCTGAACATGTGCCTTTAATTCTAGCTATTTGGGAGGCTAAAATAGGACTGAGGTCAAGGATAGCCCCATCTCAAAACAAAACAAAACAAAATCATGAACTATATCCTAATTATAACATTTTAATTATGTTTTTTGTTTGCTTGTTTCTGAGGTAGGTTCTCTCTATGAAGCCCTAGCTGTCCTGAATCTCATTATGCATACCGGACTGGTTTTGAATTTAGATATCCACCTGCCTCTGCTCCTGAGTGCTTGGATTAAAGATATGGGACACCACACTGTTCTATTCTGGTTCTGTTAGCTACTGATTTTGATAATATGCATTGCTTTCTTTTTTCTTGATTGTAGATGAATTTGTTAATTTTTAGTTGCATTGCTTTTTCCCCAACTTACTTCATTATTTTTTGCTATAATTCTTGTCATTTGCCCTTTCTGCTTACACTGGGACTAATTTTTTCTATATGATGATTTTTTTATTTTTTTCAAGAAAGGGCCCCACTATCTGCCTAAGCTAGCCTTGCATTAATTCTCTTCTTGCCAAGGGTTACAGTCATAGGTATGCAGTATACTCCCAGAAGCTTAACTGTTTCTCTGGTGTCTCTGCCAATGGGGACTGGCTGTCATGATGACCAGCCCTCCCCGCTTGGGTCACACTGCATCACTACTGCCACTGTGATGCTTCATCTTCAATTTTCAAATTTTTCTTAATTTCTTGATTTCTTCTTTGGCATACACTTCTAGTTTAATTTCCAAATATTTGAGGATACCACAAATATCTGTTGTTAATTTCTAAAAGGACAATATATTTTATATGATTTTAATTCTTTAAATTCACAGGGTCTTGGCCATATGTTAATTTCCAAACATCCGAGAATGTCAAGTTTGTTTTTTTTTTTTCTCCTGTTGATTTTTATAAAGACAACATAGCAGGGTGTTGTGGCACACCTTTAATCTCAGCACTCATGAGGCAGAGGCAGGTGGATTTCTGTGAGTTTAAGGTCACCCCAATCTATAAATTGAGTTCCAGGTCAGCTGGGGTTACAGCTGCCTTTAAAAACAAACAAACAACCCCCCAAAATGGCTAGAGAGATGGTTCAGTGTTTAAGAGCACTGACTGCTCTTCCAGAGGAGCCAGGTTCAATTCCCAACACCCACATTGATAGCTCACAACTGTCTATGACGCCAGTCCAGAGGCTCTGACTGCCTCACACAGACATACAGGCAGACAAAACACAAATGCACATAAATTAAAATACACACAAACACACACACACACTCTATGATTTTAACCTTTTAATTTATTGAGCCGTGTTTCCTGGTTGAAAATGTCCTGAAAGAAGGATGTTCCAGGTAAGCTTGAAAAGGTAGTTTTTACACAAGCATGATGGCTAGGTCAAGTTGGTTGATAATTTTCAAGTATTGCATATCTTTGATAATAAGACATAGTTCAAATTAATCATTACAAGTGGAGTATTGCTGAACTATCCATTTCTCCTTTTAATTCTGTTCATTATCCTACCTGTATCTTGGACCTCCATTGTTAGGTAACTAATTCAAATTGCTATTATCTTCCTGAGAAATACATTTGTGTCGTTATAAAACATTTTAGAAAGATAACTGGAGACAGAACTCATAGGTGAGTGTAATTTTGAGGCACTTCTTTCTGGAGGAATGCTATCTTACATCCACTCTAGAAATGTTTGCCAGGACTGTTTATGTGCTAAGCACATGAAAAAGTGAAGACAAATACATCATTTAACAAGTAGCCAGAGGTGGTGTCGCACACCCTTAATCCCAGCACTCGGGAGGCAGAGGCAGGCGGATCTCTGTGAGTTTGAGGCCAGCCTGGTCTACAAAAGAGCTAGTTCCAGGACAGGCGCCAAAGCTACAGAGAAACCCTTTCTGGAAAAAAAAAAAAATCACGTGTTTTATTATAAAGTGGTAGATGGAGAAAATATTTTTCCATGTTTCTTAAACCCCATTCCAAATGGCAGTAAAGAAACATACAAAGTAATGAGATTTCCAGGGATGGGAAAGAGGAAAAAATGGGTAGTGGTAGAGAAACCAATCATAGGACGACAGTTAGTGAAGAAGAAAGTTATGATTGAGGTGGGAATTAATCCCTTTGTTGGAGCTTCAAGAGAAGTACAAACTCAGAGTTGCCATATACCAAGGCAGGAGTAGGAGAATGGAGAGGCTACCAGCTTGTACTGAGGAATCCCTTTCTGTTTCCCCAGCACTGGGATTAGGAATGAGCTGCTAAGCCCACTTGACTTTGAAGTGTGCACTTTGTATCTGGACTCTAGTTTTCATGATCACGCTAACTGAGCAATCTCCCTAGACCCCTAGAAATAGATTTTTTTTAAAAAAAGCAATTCATAACTTAAGTAGCACCTTCATGATTTGGCAGGCCTTCTGCTTAATAGCTTGTGAATTGGTTGCTGCTTACCTGTAAGAGAGAGATTAGTCACTGCAGCGCTGGTTAAGGGAAGGACAGGGTTGACTGTGAGGGTAGTTGCTGTACTGTTTGTCACAAGGCTTGGAGTGGTTGCCACCTAGAGGTCAGAAAAGAAAAAAAAATGCATGTTAACATAAGCAAAACTGGAATGGGCCTTAAAGTTGAATAATGTTGAGTCTGACAGACTATATATATATCAGTCAGAAATAGTTTAACTGTCAAGAGTACCTAAACAAGAGAACTATTTGATAGCATCAGTGCTTATATTGTTTTTACTTTTGATTTTCTGGCTCCAGGATTAATTGTCTTGTTTTTATTCTTAACTAAATGGTAGAGAATGTGAAGCAGATTCTTTTTCTGTTTTGTTTTTGTTTTTTTCAAGACAGGGCTTCTCTGTGTAGCTCTTGCTATCTCAGAACTCATTCTGTAGACCAGGCTGGCCTTGAACCCTAAGATCTGCCTGCCTCTGCATCCTAAGTGCTGGGATTAAAAGGCATGGGCCACCACTGACCTGCCTTTTTTTTTTTTTTTTTAAAAAAAAGACAATCTTATGGTGAGGTATAGTGGTGCACGCCTTTAATCTCAGCACTCCAGAGGCAGAGGTGGACAGATTTCTGAGTTCCAGGCCAGCCTGGTCTACAGAGATAGTTCCAGGGTAACACAATGAAACCCTGTCCAAAATAAAAAAAACCCCCAAAAACCACAAAACAAAAAAACCTTAGTATATAGCTGTAGCTGGGCTGGCCCTCAATACAGAGATCAACTTGCTTCTTCCTCCTGAGTCCTGAGACAATAGGTGTATACTGTTATTGGGGCCAGGGACCCAGGGTTAGACAGCATAGGCCCAATATTACTCTGCTAAATGAACATAGTATTAAACCAGCTTCCAAATAATTATCATTACAGATTAGTGCATCTCTCAACTTTCATCAGACAAGCTCCTTTTAGAACTAGATGCAGATTAACACAGAGGCTCACAACTGGTCATGATGCACATAATAGGAGACTAAGGAACATGTGTTCCTAAAGTAGACATCTAGCCAGGCAGTGGTGGTGCACCCCTTTATTCCCAGCACTCAGGAAGCAGCGGCAGGCAGATCTCTGTGAGTTCAAGGCCAGCCTGGTCTACAAAATGAGTTCCAGAACAGCCAGGGCAACACAGAGAAACCCTGTCCTCAAGAATCAAAAATCAAACAAACAAACAAACGGACATCTATACCACACCCACTCTTTTTAAGGCTCAGGGATCATTGCAGAAGAGGGAAAGGGAAGATTCTAAGATCCAGGGAAGGTGGGTGATTACAAGGAAACCGTTTTCTTGAAACAGAAGGGCACTGTACATATGAACTCACAGCAATTATGACAGCATGCATAGGACCCACTGATAAAATCCCACAGTGCAGGGAGGTGGGCATCAACTCCAACTCCTACCTGTGACATCTGTTGGGAGCAGGAGAGGTTTCTTTAAGGTGTACCATTGGTAAGTTAATCATACTCTAGTGGATAATCATATACCTAAGAATACATAGACAGCACAACTTGGTCCTGATGGCTTTAAAAGAAAGTGACACAAGTTGTGTGTATGTGTATGTGTGTCTGTGTGTGTGTTTGGAGTTGCAGGAGTTGGGGAAGGGAAAACAGAATCAAAATATACTAAAATTTTCAAAGAACTAATAAAAATGAGGTTGGATATAACCAATGTTCAGCTCTAGTGAAGCAGATTTTCTTTTGATTTCTCGACACAGGATCTCTGTGTAGCCTTGACTGTCCTGCAATTCACTCAGTAGACCAGGCTGGCCTCAAATTCAGAGAGATCCACCTGCCTCTGCCTCCAGAGTGTTGAGATTAAAGGTGTGCCACCATCCCTGCTCGGCTGTGAAGCAGATTTTAAAACACCTTAGCATTTCCTTTTCAAATATTACAATAAGTATCCTATGATTTTGTAAGACACTATCTTTTTCCTATGGTAGCTAAGCCTAAAAACAACAAGTCACACAAAACTGTTAGCTAATGACTATGATTTTGTAACTAACATATCATATTTATGATTAAAACTTTACCATATAATAATCTACAACTTTCACTCAATAAATAATGCTGACCTTAGTTTTAAAAACCTTGTGGAGCCAGGCGTGGTGCCACATTGCCTTTAATTCAAGCACCTGGGAAGCAGAGGCAGGCAGATCTCTGTTGGGTTTCAAGTCAGCCAAGGATACACAGAGAAACCCTGTCTCAAAAACCTAAGGGGGAGGTACTAGTATGAAATAATATTAAAATAAAATAAGAGCAGATTAACAAGAACAAAAATGCAGACTTAACAATCTATCCATCTTTGGAAGTCTGTCTGGCATCATCTGGCAATGATCTATAATTATCCTAAAATGAAGAAAAAGTGAATGAGGGAGTCCTATGCCCATGGCATGTTTCTTCCATCTATGAATAACGTTCTAATGTGAATGAAGAAGTGATGCAATAAGGTTCTATATGAAATGCTGACCTACTATCTGAGAGTGAAGATCTGAGATATCTATTCATATCTGGGAATTTGCTGTCACTTAATTATGTAAGTTTACTAAAATGGGCTTTGGGACTGAACAGGAAGGAACATAACCTTTTTTTTCTAGGTGACTAGCAATCAGGAGCAAATCTACCATTATAGTTGCAGTGTAACCTTATTAGCTACAGAAAAAAAATTGCAAAGAAACAGAAAAGAATTCAAATTATTTACCTCCAAAAATAAAGGAAACCGTTAAGTTCTTGGGTTTACAATGAAAAATTTCATAATTTTGGAAATACTTAAGAGTAGACATTTTATATATTTATTCAACATGTATGCTACACACACACACACACACACACACACACACACACACACTTCCTTAACTGTTATAGTTTGAATAATGATGGCTCCCATTGGTTCCTATGTTTGAATTCTTGGTCCCCAGCTGGGAGTAAGGAAGGATTAGGAGGTGTGATCTTAGTGGAGGTGTGTCACTAGGGTGGACTTTGAGAACTCAAAAGATCATCCCATCAGCAGTTTCTCTCTGTCTCCTACTTGAAGATCAAAACATGAGCTTTCTGCTGTCCCTATATTCCAACACCAAGGACCCACCCTCTGAAAGTGTAAGTTGAAATTAACTGCTCTCTTGTCAAAGATGCCATAGTCATTCACGGCATCTTATTGCAGTAATAGACAGGAACTAAGACATCTGCTAGGAAATGAATTCCCCTAATAGGCCATTTGTAAGACTATAAATTAGCCCGTGAAGAGCTTGTCTCTTCCACACCCATTCTTACCAGTGAGGTTGGGCTGGGGAAAATTGCTTTGATAGGTGAGCTGCTGGTCCCACCACTGCTTGGTGGATTGATTCTTTTTTCCTTCTGGCGGCGGTTACAAAACCAAACGCGAATCACCTCCTTTTCCATGTTGAGCTGTTCAGCAATCAAGGTGATATCTTCCGAGGTAGGCTTTTGATTCTAAAAGTGGGGGGGAAGTCCACCTTTTTAGAATTTCAACTTATATATTTGTCACATAGGAGATTGAATCCAGGGACAAATGCTCTACATTTAAATTTTATCTCTAAAAATCTTTTTTCTTTTTCTCCTCCCCTCCCCCTCGCCAGACAGCAGACAGGGTTTCTCTGTGTAGCTTTGGAGCCTGTTCTGGAACTCATTCTGTAGACCAGGCTAGCCTTGAACTCAAGAGACTTGCCTGCTTCTGTCTCCCTAGTAATGGGATTAAAGGCATGCGCCACTTGTTTCTTCTTCTTTTTTTTTTTTTAAAAAAAGATTTATTATGTATGTGAGTGTTTTGCCTGTAGTTTTGTATAGTGTCTTCAGAGGCCAGAAGTCAGCACTAAATTTCCTGGACCTGAAATGGTTGTGAGTTGTCATGTAGGTGTTAGGAATCAAACCGGGACCTATGTAGACCAGGCTGACCTCAAATTTACAGAGATTCACCCAACTCTGTTTCCCAGGGGCTGAAATTAAAATGCCTCATGCCTGGCTAAGGTCTATTAATCTTAACATTAACAAAAGAATACAAACTTACATATTACTAGCAATGTATGCATTTCTCAGTGCTTTTTGCTTACTACCTACCTTGGACCTCATACTATGCTTCTGAGGCAAGAAAAAAGATAATTTCATAAGTGCAGAAATTTAATTTTTAAATCAAGTGAAGTGCCCCACCACACTTTAACAAGAGGCAAAACCAATAGACTCCTGAATCAATGTTTCCTCAAGTAAACAGAGCTCACTTGCGCGTGCGCTCGCTCGCGCTCTCTCTCTCTCTCTCTCTCTCTCTCTCTCTCTCTCAAAGCCAAATATCTGTTGAATTAACTTGAACTACGTAAAAGAACATTCACGGTCATTAGTGTTGTGTCCTTAAAATACCATTCCAAACATTAAAGATGCTAAAATTGAGGCAACCAAATCACACGTGTTTCTTCTGGAACAGGTATGGTTTCCTCTGGAGGCCTATGCTCATGAAATTGCTCTGCCTGAGGTACTTTTCTCCCACCTCTTCCAGTCTGTAGGATTAATCCCATGCTCCTCCTACCAAATGCTCACATAATTAGAACCAAGGTCTCTCTTGAGCCCTGCAGTAATCAAGTGTCAGTCTTATAGTATCTTACTTCCTCCATATTAAGATGCTCACCAGGGTGGAGGAAGACAAGACTATGCTTTAGTATCTATAGTCCCCAACAGTAGTACTGGTCACAACCAGATACAGATGAAAAGTCAACCTCACTGACCTCCATGAAACTCTTCTCTAAGGCCACACGGATGTTGGTCTCTATGCTGGTGCGTTTTTTCCTCCTACGATTCAAGCCCTCAGCCCCCAACCCTGGAGAATTCAGGGCACTTGGGCTAGATGCTGTACAATCAGATGAGAGGTTCTCTATAAGAGTGAAGAAAATACAGGGAAACACAGCTGAGCTTAAGGATTCACAAACAGAATATATATGAACAATAAAACTGACCAAATATTTACGGCTTGATGTTAGTGTGACATTTGCAATATAATTCACACTGAAGCACTGCTCACTACCACCAATTCTGTACTGCTATTATTAGCATTCTTTGTCTCAGGATTATCTTTTGTCACCATTCATTTTTGGTTTGATTCTGAGACTACAAAGGCTGTATTTTTCACTCATATTTCCTTTAGTTCTCTTCTTTTGTTTGTTAATAAGCTCTGAGGATACAAAAGAAGAAAATTCTCGGAAATCACTGGATATTTAATATTTAATTTCAGAGATGATTTCTCAGTTTCTCAACATAATTCAAACACAGTAGGGAGAGAGTACTTCTAACTTCTTTAAAGACAAGAGGGTATTGTTATTTAACAGCTGAACAATCCAGGGCATGTTACAGTAGATTTCTTTCTACTGCTTATAAATTGAGATGGAGCACATCAGTGGTTCTTGCCTGTGACTGAAAAACAAAACAAAAAAACCAAAACAAAACAAAAAACCAAACCAAACCAAAACCCAACAACAACAGCTAGCTAAACTTCACCCCTATGCTAGAGGTGTGGGAGTGTCTCAAGTTCTTTTTATCCAAAGGCCTAAATTTTGTATCTATCTACAATAAAAACAACATGGTTAGACATCTTTGTGGTTTCTTTTTAGCTCCTGAAGTCTATGATTATGTGACTCAAAATTCAAAATTTCTGCAAGGATATCTCAACAGAAAATAAATAATTCAAGACCAGAAGCATAACTTTTTTCTATGAAAGGTGACCATTTTTAACAGAAACATGAAGAGGCTACAATTATTGCTTGTTATTTATGCGACAATTACTGGAATATTAACTAATTAATGAAATATCTCTCTGATCTACATAATCATAATTTATAAAAGTCTCATAGGATTAATGTCGTCTACATTCTGTTTTATCAGCAATATAGTAAAGACCTCAATTCACAGAATAATCCCTCCTGTAAAATCCCACGAACAATTAAGAAATTTCTTACTATTGTTACTTACCTGCATCATTTAGCCACTTCTCTAAAAGCGGCTTTAACTTGCACATGTTCTTAAAGCTGAGGTTCAAGGCTTCAAAGCGAGAGATGGTGGTTTGGCTGAAGTCATTTCCATATAATTTCCCCATAGCGAGCCCAACATCACCCTGAATAATATAGAACAGAAAAGGGGAGAAAGGAAAAGAGATTCAGGTCATTAATGTTTCCAACTTCTACTCTGAAAGGCTACTCCAATAACTGCTGTTCTAGAAAAACAATTAGCCATCTTCTATTTACTCCATTTTTCTATCAACTTTACCCCAAAGCAGAGCCCAGAACTATAGGGAGATCTCAGCAGGGCCCTGATTACAGAAGTCTTCAATATTACCTCAAGGGCTTTCTATTTTGAGTCTCTTCTTGTTACCGTATATAATTATAATCACCATACCAAATTCTAAGTCTTCAAAGTTCTGATATACTAATGCCTCTCCATTAATACAACCAAAATAATCTGAGTATCCTTTTAAATCTATCTGTGTCACTGATAGGGATTAGATGTTTAGATAGTTCAGCAAGTTATTCTTATTCTTGCATATTCGTTCACTCATTTATTCATTTAATGTATGTGTGGATACAAGAGTGTCATGGTGCCCATGTTGAGGTCAGAGGACAACTTTGCTCTCTCCTTCTACCATGTAGGTCCTGGGGATTGAGGCCAGATCATGAGTCTTAACCAGGAGTTTCTGAACCAACCAAATTTCATAAAAAAACACTTCAAAATTTAGAAATGACCCTTCATTCTTTAGAGTTTTTCCTCGTAAGTATTTCTGGAAGCTGTGAAAAAAAAAATCTATTTTCACTTAGTTTAGATTTCAAAGTTGGCCACAAAACTAGGTATTCTAAAAGACCACGTTTGGAGCCATTATAGAGACAGAAATTCACAGCAGAGAGGTTTGACCCATTTAGTCAAACCTTCATAGGCACTGGAAACTTGGTAACCTTACTAAAACAGAACAATGATCCTCTGAATATATTACAAAAGATGCCTTTCTCTATGAGTCTATCACCTTTGAAATGTACCCAGTGCTTTTCTTCCAGCTGGATCTCTCTTGTTCTAGTTTTAAAAAGATGTATCTTAATAGTTATTTTATAGATAATAGGAGAAGCTCATGGAGTTTAAATAGCTCACACAACCACTTCAACTAGATTAGTGACAGGGCAAAAAAGTATAGCATTTTTCATTCAAAATATGCACAGCTAACTCTACTGTGAGAGACTCAACTCTCAACAGACCTGCAACATTATTTGTAATTAATTATTTTTTAGATTTTTACTTATTTTGGGTGTATTAATCTTTTGGCTTCATGTATGTATATATAGCACATGTGTGCAATGCCTATAGAGGTTAGAAGAAGGCATCACATCTGGAACTAGAGTTACAGATCACTGTGTGCCTTCAAAAGAAGCTGGGAACTGAACTAGGTCCTCTACAAGTACAACAAGTGCTCTTAACCAATGAGCAATCTCTCTAGCCCCAATCTGTTGGGCCCAAAACTGACTTTGAATTTGTGAGCTTCCTGTCCCAGTTTCTAAAGTGCCAGGATTCTAAGCTTGTGCTATTATGCCCTGGCTTTAGGAACATAATTGAGTTGGGATTATCTGAGTTCTTTTAATCTCCTAGATTCATATTTTTGAGATCAGACTGTCTATTATATGTGGAGTAAAAGAAAAGATGTATTTAAAAAGCAGGTAATTGTGGTTTTATTCATTTTAATTTACTACTACTATTATTTAAATAGAGGTATCATGAAACCTAGAGTGGTCTTAAATTTGTTATTTAGCTATACCTGGTTTGAGCTCCTGATTCTTACTTACAATGTTATACATAGCTTCCCAAGTGTTGAGCTTATAAGCATGTGCCAAGAGTCTAACTATGAATACCTTTCATTAAGAAATTCAGGACAAATGTGGAACTATAATATAAAATGAAGTATACTGAATATTTAACCTCAAAAGCTATATACACTATGCCTGCCATCAGTCACTACTTATAAGTGACTGCTTAAATTTAGAATTGTAGAAAAGCAAATAAACGAACATTTACCTTCTCAGCACCACTACCCTTTCAAGTACTCAGTAGCGATTAGTGGTGAAGGTACTGAGCAACACAAATACAAAGACTTTTCAATGTAGGCTTTGAATAAGTAGAACTATAGTAGATTATTAATCAATTTCATTCTAATTATAGTAAAACTTAGAGAGCCAAGGTAGAGTGAAGAGGGGCAGTAATACTATTGTTTTTATACAAATGTATCTAAAGATATGGATAGGTAAATTAATCTTCATCTATATATTTATTATTGCTACTCCATTAAACAGTGCCTACTACATGTCAGGGACTCAAACTTATACTTTATGAGTCACATATATTTGTGTTTTCATCATTTTGTTTTGATTATAGCTTTCTAGAAATCTGGGGATAAATAAAACATGGAGTCTTTTGAGTATATGACATTAAGTGACAATAAATGTCTTCTGACACGTTAACTGCATATTTCACTAAATATTTTCACAAATACCTGTAATATCCTACTCTGAAAACTAACGATTTTGACAAGTAAGAATAAGGAAAATGCTTATTAAAATCCACATTATTATTTTAAGTTTAAGGAGCAATAACATAAGACTAGGAAGGCTCAGTCAGTGAGTCCTTGCCCCATGAGCATAAACAAATTTAGGTCCCTATCACCTAAAGAAGATGAAGATAATGTGCCTGTAATCCCAGCACTGGAGAGATGCAGATATGCAGAGATCTCTGGAGCTCACTGGCCAGTTATTATAGTTAAATTTCTGGCCTCTGTGGGCATGCCTCCCTGCCCCCTCCAACTACCAATAACATAAGTTGTCAGCTATAAACAAAGTTGTGCTACCAATCCACTAAGAACAATGGCAGTAAAAAGCAAATTCACTTAATGGAGATTTGTAATACAATTTCATTAAATTTAGGATTATTTAAAACAATAAAAAGCAGTAGATCCTGTAGTAGTTTGAAATATTTGAATGACTTAGCCCCTATTTGGTGGAACTGTTTGGGAAGGATTAGAAGGTGTGACCTTTGAATTTTCAAAAGCCCATGCCATTTCCAATTAACTCTCTCTGCCTCTTAATTGTGTCTCAGAATGTGATCTCTCAGCTACTGGTCTACTACAAGGACTGTCTGCTGACATGCTCTCTACCATGTTGGAAATAGACTCACAGTCTAGAACTTTAAGCCCCAATAAACTTCTATAAGTTTCCCTAATCATGATTGTTATTCTTATGCTCTGGGTATAGTCAAGCTCAGACCCAACCTTCCAGACAGATTCTATACTGCAGCTATACCTAATACACAGCCACCAACTGCTCAGAGATCTGGGGAATGTGATATTTAAGTATTTAATTATTTAAAAAACTTTTCATAACAAAAAGAGACAGGTTGGCTCCTAGCAAGCACTCTGTTTCCTCCAAGAAGACAGAAAACAAACGGTCACAGAACAACGTCCATCTTCAGTTCGCTTCAACTGCCAAATGCTGACCATTGGGCAAAACTGCCTTTCACCTAAACTAAAGACCTCCAGACGTGGACAGAATCACTGGAATCGACAGCCTAGCTGCCCGGGTAAGGTAGGCCTGTCTTCCTACAGATTTCTTAGCCCACAGGGTCTTCTAAAGCCTGACAGGCTCTGCACTAAGCAGCAAAGGTCAAATGCAACCTTCAGCGACCAGGGAGGACCCAAAAGAGTAGGTATGGGTGCCAACCAAGTAAGTTCTCTGTCATTTTTTAATCAGTAACTCAAGTAAAATCTTATCCTTCTCAAAGATCTCTGACAGTTTGATAGCTGAGAGGTTTTGCCAGGTTGCCTCAACAAATAAAAATACTTTTCATTGTACAAAAGTATGTCACAGCCATTATACAATACATATGTCTAAAATTTCTGTTTTTACAAACCCAAGGAGTTCTTGTGAGTTCCAGGGAGCCGAATTAAAGAACCCACCGTAAAATTCCCTGGTCCTAAAACTTTTTTTTTCTTAATTTAACTTTGTCCTCTGTTCTGCCAACACCCTAACCAGGTACAAGGGACACCAGACATTTCCACGACACAAAATACCTGTCGGGAGCAGAGACCAACTATGCCAGAATGTGACCAGCACGCAGCCTTCTCTCTGATCTTCCCACCCCCCCAAAGACGACGCCCACAAATCAGCCGGAAGCAGTCTTGAGAATTCGTCACCCCAATTCCTTCAAACTGTAATGCCTAACCTACTTTTTATTATAAAAAGGATCCGGGAATGTTATTCTTATGCTCTGGTCCCTTTAAGGGCAAGTCACGCCCACTCCCAGCCACTTCTGACCTCCCTCGTTGCCATCTTAACTCTTCCTCTTCTGTGCCCGTCTCTCGGCGTGTGCACACGTGTCTCTGTCTCTCTCTATGCCTGTCTCCATGTCTCTCTGTCTCCCTCTTCTTTAAGTAATAAATATTCAGCTTTATGTTTACCCTTACGTCTATTTATTATGTCCTGTACGCCTTTTATCTGCCAACTCCACTCGTCAGTTCTGCCACTCGCTGCGTGGAACCGGCACCTGTTCTGGTGGCAGCCTCTGCCTGGACTAGCCTGCCTCGGTCACCTGCCAACATATTATTTTTTAAGAACAAAAATGATGTCTCTTTACAGCAATAGAAAAATAACAAGAAAGAAGTTGGTACCAGGAAATGGGCGACTGATAGGCCTGACCATGCTGGTTTTCTGGAGGCATGTTTAAGACATTAGGACTATTGATGAGGAAAGTGGTTCAATGCTGTAAAGTAGGGTCATCCTTGAAAAGAGCTTGGAAGACAATAGTAAGAGCAAAGTGGGCAACGGAGGCCCAGTTCAAAAGGTCTTAGAAGGGAACAATATTAGCAACTAGGCTGTAGAGGATTCTTGTGAAATTTTGGCAAATAATGTGGTTGTTTTTTGCCCTTGTTCTAAGAATCTGTCTGAGGTTAAATAAAGTTTTTAGACTGATTTTATAGGCAGAGGGGATTTCAACACAGCCTAATATTGACTCTGTCATGTGGTTATTAGTGATCATTCTTATACAGGTATATAATAAAAAAGAAGAGCAAATGGAAATATAAAACATACAGTTTGAGAAGAAAAAGAGCGCCAGAAAATTTAATGATGGAGCCAAGGTTTGTGATGAAAAAAATAAGGAAAAATGGAATAAAGTGAGTAGTACCTTAGAGCAAGACCCCACCTAGTAAAGCCTGCAACTTGTGAAAACAAAAGGCCTAAGTAAGGAATTAATTTGTTCCTAAAGAGTAACAACACATTAAAGCTTATGTAAATTAATTCAAGGAAGGGCCACATTCCAGTACCAGCAGGCAGAAGAACTTGGCAGCACTGGTCATGTTGTTCTTGCTTTAGAGTCAAAAAATTATTTAACAATAAAGGTGTTGTGGAATCTTTCTCTGAGATAAAGGAAAGCCACTGAGATCTCTTGAGATAGAGGAAAGTCAATGAAGCCAGGCATGGGACAAGAGTCCCTGTATGGAAGACTAAGAAACCTTCGCATGAAGTCATCAAAGTGAAGCCTGAGATATGTTGGAGACCTTAAGATACTGGAGATGCCAGAGTCCTGGATATCTGCCAAGGAGAGCTGTACACAGGGAGTAGAATCAGTCCGACACACACACAGAAAATGTACTGCAGTCAAACAAAGCTGGAAGTAGTAGAAAATGTGAGAAACCAACTGAGCCCCTTGACATTAAACTAGAACTGGAGACCTTGCCCTGATGAAACCTGATGGTTTTCAGTCTTGCTCTCGTCCTGTATTTCCTCCTACTCTTCTCTTTTGGAATGCTTAATGTATATTCTATGCCATTGTATGTTGAAAAAAATGTAATTTGCTTTTTGGTATTACAGGTGGTTACAGATTAGGGGGTAGCCTTGAGACTCACAAGAGGTTTTGGACTTTGAAACAGCCTTGAGATTCAAAGACTATGGGGACTTTTGAAGTTGGAAGAAATGTATTTTGCATTATGATATGGCTACAAGCCTATGAGGGCCAGGGAATAGAATATGATGGTTTGAATGAGAATGTCCCCCACAGGTTCATATATTTGATGCCCCCACTCCTACACACACACACACACACACACACACACACACACACACACACACAGCACCATGCCTGCCTGTCTGTACCATGCTCCTCACCATGATGGTCATAGTTGCCTAGGTCATGGTGATGTTTCACAGCAATGAAAAATTACTATGAGAGGTCCCTTGCTTAATATGCTAATTTTCATTAATTTGGTACATCTTGGTTTAGTAGTACTATAGTTCTTGGGTTCTTCATACAAGTAAGCAGTCTCAATCAGTTGATTTCAACATATATAATATAAACTATATTGTATCCCTTTGACCTTTACTAAAAAGAACAAATGGAGTAAAGGAGCAAGGGGGCAGTGAAAATAATGAATCAATGTACTGCATCTGAAAAATACTATATACTACAATATGATTTCTAATAATGTAATGGCATATACTACTTACCCATTGCTTATAAAGAAATGATAAACACATAATTAGAAAATAACCATTTACAATATGCATCTAACCAAAGAACAGGGATTTATCTCAAGAATTAACCTGAATACTGTATGTATATATAAATACGAATAAACTGAATACATAGCTCCTTTTGAATAATTACAATAAGGTAGATGAACTAAAAACAAAGTTCAGTAGCTGATTTTCCCATCTTGTACCAGCAGTAAGTACTATGATACATGAGGCAAGACTTGCAAACTATTCCCAGTTCTGTATCAGCCATTCTGAAAAATAAGTAGTAGTAGTCATCTAAGAACAAAACAAAACAAATCATAAAACAGAGTAAGATGCTGGGGTAGAGGTATAGTGTGTATGGGGGGAAGTGGGAAGAGGAAGAATGAGAAGTGGGGAGAGGAAAAAAAGGGAGGGAAGGAAGGAAGAGGAAGGGGAGAGAAGGATTGATTTCCATCCACTCAGTGGTCATATATTGAATCAAGAGTCACAAAAAGTGAAAGGGAAACCAATGTTTGATTAAAGGTAAAGATTTTGAAAAACCTAGTATCTTTGATTTAGCATTTATGCAACTGTTTATCAAAGAACCCCAGAGTGTAATGTGCTGATAGCCAAAACCTAGCCACCGTTAAGCATTCTTGGTCTATTAGTTTATCTCTATCAATCTAGTTTATCTTTATTTTTATGTCTAAAACAAATCACATCATTTAAGTGCTTCAAAATTACTAAAATGTTACTGAATTGTAATTAAAAGTTTTATATTTACCTATTTATTTTGTGTGTAAGTGTTTGGGCGTGTGCAGATGTACCTGTGTATGAGTGCACCAAGCAGGTTCTGGGGATCAAGCTCAGATCATCAGGCCTGGCGGCAAGCACCACCTCCTTATTTTGTTTCCTCATATCTGAAACTCCTCAAAAAACCTAACTGTAGTTCATGTAAAATTGTATGTATTCTAAATTCCCAATATACAGTTTCTCTGAGCAAAACTAAATCTTCGAAGAATAAAAGAAATCTAACAACATCTAGAATACAGTAGACAGTGAAGTCACTTTTGATTTTTTGATTTTTTATCTACCAGAGCAGGTGGTGTATTATGTACTTTCAAAACGACCTAATTTAGAAAGCATATGAATGGAAGCTTTTCTGGAAAGAAAACATCAGTTTTTCCTGAATCTATAAATATACAATTCAATCCATACTTCAAGATTTTTTTTCAGCTAATAATCTTTATCCATTTTACATAAATAAAAATGTAATTCCTTTCCTGCTCTCAAAGCATTGTTTTTGACAGGCTAATTAGGGAGTATGGTCAGAGTCAGCACTTAGAAAAAAAAATGCTGTGTACCCAAACGCTTGTTTAAGCCATTAAAAGCACACTCATTTCACCTTTCAAGCCTCTGCTAGCTGACGTTAAAAGATTTGAATTTTGATTAATTTACTTAAAAAAATCTTCAATAGATTCTTACTTGACTAATCTCAGTGTAGATTGAAAGGAGGGGAGCACTCTCTATCCCCAATCTAGCTTTAAATAAATCTTTCAAAAGACTTCAGTCCTTACTCTTTTCACTTTACATATGTAGTAGTGTAAGCTCTACCACTACATGTTCTTTAACAAAATCCTTAGCATAGTCATATCCCCCTAACAAGGTCTACTAAAACACACATTTTACTGATACAATTTCGGAGGCCTGTGTTGTGAAACACACTTGGAAATTTTTAACCTAATATTATATCACAAATAAATGTATGGACATAACATAACCAAATGCACAATATTTTAAAATTGTAAATTTTAAACTCTAAATCGGTATGACGAGAAACATCCAACTCCTCAGAAAGTATTCACAGCCAGCCTCAAAAGACCGCAATGGTAAAACAGGTTGTCAAATGGGACAGATTTGGAAAGGGGGAATTTTAATTGAACAGTTATCTCTACCAGATTGGCCTTTGGGTATATCAATAGAGCATCTCTTTACAAAAAAATTTATTATGTATACTATGTTATGCCTACAAGACAGAAGAGGACACCAGATCTCATGAGCCACTATGTGGTTTCTGAGAATTAGACAGCCAGTGCTCTTAACCTGAGTCATCTCTCCAGCCCCAATAGAACATTTCTTGACTGCTAATTGATATAAGAGGGCCCAGGACACTGTGGGCAGTGCCATTCCTGGGAAGGTGGTCCTGGGCTGGTAGGGACAGTGGAAAAAGACAGCAGTATTCCTCTATGTTTCCACTTGCTTCAGTGTTCACCTCAGGTTCCTCCTCCAGCTTCCCTCACTGATGGGCAGAACTGAAAGCTGAATAAAGCCTTTTTCTTTACAAGTTGGTTTGGTTAGTGTTTTATCACAGCAACAGAGAGTGAGCTAGATCAGAGGTCATCCTACCTGAGTGAATCCAAGTTTGATTCGTCTTTGTTTGAAGGTCTTGGCAAATTGCTCAAGCTCCTCAAGGTCACTGGGCTCCTCCAAGCTGGGAGTATCAATTCGCTTTGGTGTTGTCTGGCTCTGTGGAAGTGTCTGAATTGGGGTTGCGGCTATTGTGCGAGTTGGGGTGGCTGGCTGTTGAACAAGGAACAGAATAATAAAGATACAACCTTATAGTTGTAATGTGCAGGCAACTTAATGAAAAAGAGTCACATGATCCCAAGTCAGACAAAATCTTAGCATGGAGGAGAGAAAGTGGACATAGAGTCCCACCCCGAGCTGAGGAGTTATTAGTATTTGCTGTACGGAGAGAGAAAGCCAGTTTTTTTCAATGAAGTGACACCTGGTATATTGGGCAGACCCAATGCTCAGGATTAGTTACTCAATAAAACCTGGGCTCCATGGGATTTAAATTAAAAAATAGCAAGGAACAGTGAAAAAGAACATGAAGTTGGGTGTGTATGAGAACATGAATATGGGTGAGTTTGGCTGTGGGGGAGGAGTTGGAAGAATGAAGAATATGATCAAAATACAATGTATAAAACTTATACATAAATACATAAAAAAAGATTGTCTCAAGAAAAGCAAGTACAAACAAAGAAGTATCTTCTTCTCTACCCATTAAAAAAAAAAGGTTTTTACTCTGTAGCCCGCACTGGCCTGGAATTCACTATGTAATTGCGCTGCCTCAATTTCCACAGTAGTTGGGTTAAACAGGTACTACCACCAACAGTAAAAAGTTCTTTAAAATAAATTTATGAAGGACTTTTCTGGCAACTAGGTAAATGATGTTATGCTTCCGATAAACAACATGCTGTGATCCACCACACGACGCACAGTTTTTGGCAAAGGACTTGTGTTCTCAGTTTAAAACAGTATTCTGTTCATCGGCAAGCAAATGGCATGCCACTTCTGACATAATACTTTTCTTTACAATACTCAAAGCAAGATACTTTTCATGTATCAATTATTACTTGTATTCCCTTGTACTGGACTCAGGTCTCAATCATATATTAATGATATCTTTATTCTCTTACTTTAGGTCAGTTCTTCAAATATAATGGTATAAATACCCTTATGGTATTAGTATAAATAATTCAATCAGCTTTTAAATTTTTTTCAGTGTGTATAAAATTTCTGTGAATTTCCCCCCATTGCTACTATCTTGCTTTGAGAAAGAAAACTTTTGTTATTTCTCAGTGATGAAATCCCTTCTGGTAAAAAGAGAAAAAATTCTTCCCAAGAATATGATACCTTATTTTTTGCATTTTAACATAATTATTTAAATCTTTAAAGAGTTTATTTTAGGAAATGAAAACATAGTCCTGTTATTCCACCATGTTACGCCCTGTGCTAACAACTGAGTTTGGGATTCTCCTTTCTTTTTTATTGTATTTTTTAAAAATATTTTTATTTTATGTTTGTGCCTCAATGTATGTCTGTATACCATATACATGCAGTGCCTGCAGAGGCCAGAAAAGGGTTTTGGATCCAGAGGAACTGGAGCTAAGAGACAAATGTATTAGAAATCACACTCATGTCCTCTGGAAGGCAGCCAGAGGTCCTAACTACTGAGCCATCTCTCTGGTTCCCTTTCTTTTTTGAAGAAAATACTAAATTTTCTTATCATTCAAACACCAGGCTACTTTTCTTACAAGTGTTGAGTAGAACCTTCCTTCTGAGGGTTCACTAACAGAGGTGCTCCTGATTCTGCATCCTAATTGCCCAGTTGAACCCTCCCTCCTAAGAACAGCAGCCCAGGTGAGATTATAAACTAGGATTTTCTTCTTGTAATTTAGATGGGCCTTATATTACCTGACCGTTAACTCATTATTAATGCTTGCTCTGAGGGAACTAAATGACCCAGAAAACTACCTAAGAGGCATGACATAATAATTGGGGCAAATCTCTCTGCAATCCTGCTTCAGGAAAGTAAATAAAGCATGTCTCCACAACATGCTGACATTGAGTAATTTTAATTTCACTTTTTCACATCACACCAAATATGTTATAATCTCACACTGCTGAACACTGATAGGTAGAGGTGAGTCTCAACTATTACATTATTACTTCATCTTCAGCATCAAGTAGCCTCTTTGTCAAATCATAATGTACTAAAAACAGCATGGGTACCTGTCAACAGCTGGGCCAGATCTAGAATGGTAGCATAGCATTTAATGAGCAGAGTCTGGACGAAGTTTGCTAAGTGTGCACAGCATACAGCCCAGAAAGAGGTCTCTGGTGGATATATGTCAAAACAGCAAAACTTATTGATTTTGCATTGAGCATATTAAAAAACTTACAATTTAAAACTGTAGTATAGTTTGATGCTTTTGCAGCTGAGTATAATTGTGTAACTACTAACACAAGATATAGATTATTTTTACCATACTTCCCCAAATTTCTTCTGAACCCTTTGTGATCAGACTTCAGTGTCAATGCTTTCTTCCTGACAAGCACTGATAGGATTTCTACCTATAGTTCTGTCCTGCCTAAATTGTTATGTAAACTGAAATCATAAAGTACTCAGTCTTTTAAGCCTAGCTTCTGTCACTTAGTATAAGGCTTTTTAAATGCATATATGCCACTGTAGCTATCAGAAGTACATTTCTTTTTCCTGCTGAATAGCAATCTGTCACATGGCTATTTGTAAGTTTATGCAATGTACTATCTGATGAATACTTTAGGGTAATTATTAATTAATCTATTATAAGCATTCATATACATATCTTTGTGCTTTCATTTTAAAGAGTAAAACTACTGGGTTATAAAGTATAGCTTGTTTTGTTTGCTTATTTATTTAGACACAGGGGTTCTCTGTAGAGCTTTGTAGACCAGGCTGGCCTCGAACTCACAGAGGTCCACCTGTCATCACCTCACCAGTACTGGGATTAAAGGCATGTGCCACCACCCACTGGCTTAATTTTCAAGTGAATGCCAAACTAATTTTGTAAGTGCTGATACATTTTGCAAAACTACTACTAATGTATAAGAAATCTAGTTGCTTTACTTAGTCTCAAATTCTTCATAACTGTACCGTCTAGTGAAGGCACATCTTCACTGGCAATCACTTTTTTTTTTTTTTTTTTTTGCATGAGCTGGAATGTTCAACGACTGAGTGTATACTGCTCTCGAAGAGGACCCAAGTTCAGTTTCCAGCATGCATACTGAGCAGCTCACAGCTGCCTGGACCTTCAGAACTAAGGGATTCAACATGTTCTGGTTTCCTGGAGTACCTGAACAAACACCTCACTCCCATATTGATTACAAAATCGTTTATCAAATGCTATATTTGAAGACTGTTTTTTCCTTAACTTTGGTTTTCTTCCCATTCTCTTAGATAAGTTTATTTTATTTGCATTGGTGTTTTGCCTGCATGTACATCTATGTTAGGATATCAGTTAAGATAAGCTTTTAATTTTTCTGAAATTTATTGTTTCTTCTATGGTTAAGGCTTCTTGTGTCTTGTTTAAGAAAACACTGCTTTACCCAAAGGCATGAACATTTCTTCGTAAAGTTTAGGTTTATGACTCATTTCAAATTAATATTTGTATAAGGTATGAAATAAGGGTGGTCTCCACCCCCTTTTGCTTATGAATAGTCAATTGTTAGTTATTATCTATTGAAAATACTTTCCATTTCCACTGGAATCCTTTGGAAACTTAGCTAGTTATTTACATTTCTGTCTATTGGACAGATATATCCCGTTGGCCTACATTTCTCTATATATGCCAATACCATGTATTCATTATTATGGTTTTGTAATAATTCCTGACATCAGATGGGATCTAATTTTTTACCTTTAATAAGTTGTTTGGTTACAAGAGTCAGTGGTTAATAGCAAGTAACTGGCTACTAAAGCTATGAGTCAAAATAAACCTCTGACTTTTAAATTATTTTTCTCAGGTATCTGTCATAGTGACCCAAACAAAACAAACAACAACAACAAAAAAACCCCAATGACCAAAACTAATCCCCCGCAAAATGACCAAGATGGAGAACTATTATAATATTTAAACCTGTGACATTAAGTAATATATTAAGTTTTAATTATATTTTTTATTTTCATATTTGTGTGTATGCAAGTATGCATACACGTGGATACATATACATCCATGTATATATGCATGTGGAGAGCAGAGGCTGATGAAGCTATCTATCTTGATCTCTCTTCACCCAAAGCTTGGCAATAAACTAGTTTCAAAAGCCAGGATGCTTAGGAGATCCCCTGACTGAAACTACAGGTGAGCCACCATGTTCACCCAGCATGCATTTAAGTGGTTCTTAGGATCTGATCTTTGATACTCTGTTTGCTCAGCAAGAACCACTGAGTCATACACTTCTCCACCGCCAACTTCTACACTTTAGAAAGAGTCAGGACAGTGAAGGAGGATTCAAAAGGTCAGTCATCAGAATGAGGAAGGAGACTGAAAGGCAGAGAGGCAAACTCACAAGGCAGTCACAATCACCACTAGATAAAAAGACAAACATGGAACTTAAACTTGCAGATGCTAAGAACTGTGCTATATCTATAATCTATATGATTACGATTGTTAAGTCTTCTGAGGAAATGACATAAAGTAACATTTAAGTACTGAAAAAATATAGAAATTCAAGCTCCTTCACTGTTTTAGCAAAGACAAAGGATCAATGACAGATTTTAATTGAATTCCTAGGTCTTTCATTTCTGTGTTCCTATCTATCAACATCAGACAGCTATAATTTATCCCCATTTACTATTTACATGGCTATTCTTTATGAACTTAAAAAAGGACAATGAAAAATAACAGTTTCCATCAATTTGGTAGTACTGCTTTATCAAGCTAATAAGATCAGCACTGAGTTTTTGGTCAGCTTCTGAACACCTGAGATTGCTATTACTGGGGGTGTTTTTTTGTTTCATTTTTCAATTAGTAAAACAATAGAGTAAGAAAACTGACCTGGGAGGTGAGGGTGATGCTTGGCTGTGGCTGTAGGAGGTTGGCTTGGCTTTGCTGAGGTAGTTGCGTTAAAAGATTTTGCGCTTGCAGGAGACCTGCGAAAACCAAATATTTCAGAGAGATAAAAAAGAATATAGACTCAAAGTTTCCAACTGGTTTCCTGGTAGTTTTGTTGGTCTTCAGACTTATCTAATTCTTTGTCTAAAATTCAATACTGTTAAACATGTTAAACACAAGATGGCATGAAAATACTTAACATCAAAGCTTGTATATCTTTAGTGTAATCTGAGCAAGTTCTTTGAAAGGTTTTACTTCCTAAAAAGAGGAACAATGTGAGAAACTACTCTAAATGAAAGGATCTGAAAATTTAAATATGAATTTAACTTCTTAACCCTGAATTCATTAGAATCCTTTATCATAGTGGTTTTCAATCTTCCTAATGCTATAACCCTTTAATACGGTTCCTCATGTTGTGGTGACCAACTATAAAATTATTTTCATTGCTACTTCATAATTTTGATACTGTTATGAATCATAATATAAATATCTGATATGAAGGATATCTGATATACAATCCCTGTAAAAGAGTCGTTTGACCCCACAAAGGGGTCATGACCCACAGATAGAGAAATTCTGCTCTAAGGAATCTTGGGACAGGGAATCTGTTTCTAAAAGAAGCAGGCAATCCTGTAAGTGGGAGAAGATGTTGTTTTCAAGTTCTTAGCACATGCCCCTTCGGTGATAATAAAAGTTAAATATAAACAACCATCTGCACGAAACCATCTTAGTTTAAAAGTTATTGATAAGTAAAATGGGTAAAAATGGGCATGACTGTAGTCCCAATTACCCTGAAGGCGGAGGCAGAAGGGTCACTTAAGCCCCAAAGTTGGAAGCCAGGCTGGACAACATAATGAGAATTTGTTTTGAACCCTTGAAGTAGTAGTACATACTCAGTTGATTATTTAAGCCTATAGGATTCTGTTGTTGTTTGGTCTTCTGCAATGTTATAAATACAGGGGCAACCCAGAATAAATTTGTATTAAAGAACTTACTCTAAGTATTTAGTTTCAAATATAATCATGTTGAAATATTAAATATAAGGTTATGATGAGTTAGGAGCAGAGGCATAGTGAGAGACAGTAAGTTACGGTGGGTTAACTTATCTTTCTGATTTTCTTAGTTACTAAATTTGGATACAGTGAAATGTGTAAAACAATAATGAAATTAAACCTGCCAGATTTTATCATTCATTTGTAAGTAAGCAAACACTGCCTAAATTTAAGAAATTAACATAGGTGTTTATTTGACGATGTAGATCTCCAATACAGTATGTTAAATAGATTTGGATTTTCGAGATTTTCTGGATTTTCTTGTTTATATTATGAAGCAACTATGCTAAAACTAAGTAAATTGAATATACATGGTTACAAGCTTCTCTTGCTGGTTGGGAATGCAAGCTGGTACAGCCCCTTTGGATGGCAGTGTGGCAATTTCTCAGAAAATTAGGAAAACAACCCTCCTCAAGACCCAGTAATACCACTTTTGGGTATATACCCAAAGAATGCTCAATTGTGTCATAAGGACATGTGCTCAACTATGTTCATAGCAGCATTATTTGTCATAGCCAGAACCTGGAAACAACCTAAATGCCCTCGAGCAAAGAATGGATAAGGAAAATGTGGTACATTTACACAATGGAGTACAACACAGAAAAAAAATAATGACATCTTAAATTTTGCAGGAAAATGAATGGAACTAGAAAACATTATTTTGAGTGAGGTAAGCCAGACCCAGAAAGACAATTATCACATATACTTACTCATAAGTGGTTTTGAAACATAAAGCAAAGAAAACAAGCACACAAATCATAATCCCAGAGAACCTAGACAACAATAAAAACCCTGAGAGAGAATACATAAATCTAATCTACATGGGAAGTAGAAAAAGACAAAATCTCCTGAGTAAACTGGGACCATGGGGACCTTGGGAGAGGGCTGAAGGAGAGGGAAGAGGCAGAGAGGGGAGCAGAGAAAAATGTAGAGCTCAATAAAAGTCAATTAAAAAAAGAAAAAAAAGGCAGATTCAGCAAAAAATTATTCATGTTTAAATGACTACCATACTTTCCCAAGTATCTTTCTATGGTTCAATCTTTTAAAAAAAAAAATCTTTAGATTTATTTAATTATTTTATGTGTATGAACTTGGCTCCCCTGTCACAGCAACCTGTGGTGCCAATCACTGAGTCAACTCTCCAGGCCCTCTGCAGCTCAAGCTATAAAGTATTTAAGGTGACCTCTTTGATTATATCATACTAGCGAGCCAGGCTTGGTGGTACATGCTTGTAGCCTGAGCAAATCGGAGGCTGATAAGGTTCAAACTCCACTTGCTCTTCATAGCCAGACCTTGCCACCAACCCAATCCAACACTCCAGTAGTCTTCCATTATACCTACAATAGAATATCTGTTCAGTCCTAAGTAATCTGGCCCTGTATTGATAGTTTTGTTTTCTTCTTCATATATGTGTGTATAGTCTTCCTCAATCACTGTCTACCTTACTCGCTGAAGAGGGATCTCTCTACTCAATTCCAAGCTCTCTGACAGGCTAGTCTAGCTAAATAGCTTGCTCTGGAGATTCTGTTTCTGTCTTCCAAGCACTGGAATTAGAGGTGGAGGCACCACACTCACTCAGCATTTATATGGGTTCTACAGATCTGAACTTAGGTTTGCTTGCATGGCAAGACTTACCAGTGAGCTATCTCCCCAACCCTGCCTAGGCTTTTTCCGCCCCCCCCCCCCAACGACCTTTACTCATTCACTGATCTCTAGCTACACTGGCCTTCCCTTTCTTGGCTTAGGGCAGGTTCATCTCCCTCTCAGGTTCTCTATATTCTTCACTGCCTGCAAAGCTAGTCATCCAAATCCATAGCCAGCTGCAGCAGTCTCCACCTCACCCCTCAGTTCAGACATGACTTTCCAGACCAGCTTTCTTCAGACCATATACCCTTCCACATGTTACCAGGTCAGTCAAACCTCCCACCTTTCTTGGACATACTATTATCTAAATCATTTGTTTATATTTGCTACTCTTTGACTTTTAATAAGTGCAGGGGATTTCATCTTGCTGAAAATTTTAACTTCAATAATTACAGTGATATACGACATGTAGCAGGTATACAACAAACTGCTGAGCAAATTAACTATAATTGTAGATTTTATGGGCTTGAACACACTCAAAGTATTGGCTAGTGTGAAAAATAAAATTACATTTATGTGAATAATCAGAATAAATCGATTGAATTTAGAAAAGAACAAAAAGATAAAACACTGAAAACAAGAAAGTACAAACATTTTAACGATGACTTTCTTTAAAGTTCAGCAGGAAAGTTAGATTTTTCTTTCTCTTTGACAGCAGCACTGAAATAGTCATATTTAATCAGAAATTATAATATTGAATGATTAATTTTAGTTCACAGTAGCATATTCTAAACAAATTACCCCTCCCCTGCCTGCCAACTAAAAGCAGCTGAGATGCTGAAAGGGTCCAGGAGAAGCCTAGCACTTCCATGAGGACCAAACCTTTCTCTTGTTTCATACCCTGAATAACAGACCGCAAACACAAAATTCAAGATTTTTTTTTTAACAAGAGTGTATCTTTAGTTTCAAAACTAATGCTGACAGTAGAAAAGGCAGAATACAAGTTGTAGTGAAATAGAAACATATCAGTAACATATCAGTATGTTACAGAAACATATCAGTAAGAATTTTTCCATGAAAAATTAATTCTGGGAGAATATGATTTCTCTTGTTTTTAGATATTTATATAATCACAGCAATATTTTCAATATTATAAACTATACTTTCAAATTTTGAGATCAACAATATTCCCTCCCTCAAAAAAGCAGAAATGATTGCTCAATTGGAGGCTAATTGCACACTAGAAATATTTTTTTGTTATTGTTAAAATCCTAAGAAATCAATCCTTGTCCTCTCCACACAAAACTAAAGACTGAAACAGATTTCCAGTTACCATTAATCACAGTGACTCTACTAAAAATAAAGTATTCTCAAGGCTCTGATCCTTCATACTGCTGGCTAGTCTTATTAGATGAAATCTGGATCCTGTCCTATGCCACTAAGATTACAACTCAACAACAGTGGTACAAACTGGTTCTAGATTACTTTGTGTGTGAGATGCTGAGTGCACATGTATATGGGTATGTACATACACAGGCTTGCAGAGGCCAGGTTTAGGTCAAAAGTCTCATCATTCTGTATCTGCCTTATATATAAATAGGTACTCTCATTTGAAATTGATTTGGCTAGATACATTAGCCCCCTAACTTGCTAGTCCTATATGTGCTTCTTTCTTGAGCCCTTCCAGGCCATGATATGGGTGCTAGGGATCTGAGCACAGGTCCTCATGCTTATGCAAGTGCTTTACCCACTGAGCCATTTCCTGAGTACTGTTTACTTTCAAGCTGATTTTTACTATATAAAGGAACAAACTTCTCATAGATTTTATCTATGAACTGCTGCTGATATTGATATGTCAATCGTTATAGTGGCAAAATTTGAGGTTACTATATATAAGGCACATTTTCAGAAAGTACTTTCATTTGTTTCCTAACTGAATCCCTAGAAAATTTTGGACAAAAATACTAAAATTATTCTCATACTTCAGGTAAGAAAATGGAGGCTCAGAAAAACTAGATTTCTTCAGAGAGAGATAGCTTGGCTTTAGACTACAGCCTATGCTTTTTACTACATATCAATGGTCTTCCTGACATTAATAAAACATTTTATATAATTTACCCATACCATAATTAAAGGGAAAGATGAAAAGAGTAAAGGGGAAGATGAGAAGGGAAGTATGTAACTGAAAAAACTTCCTTTCCAAATTGAATCCCCTTGATCTCCTTTTGTTGTCTTACTGAACTAGCCAGAACTTCAAGAAAATGGGTGGTAGTTGTATGGCTGTGGCAGACTGCAGGGCCACTGTCAGTGGCACCAGGATTTATCTCTTCTGCTTGTACTGGCTTTTTGGGAACCTATTCTATTTGGATGGATACTTTGCTCAGCCTAGAAATAGAAGGGAGGGCCTTGGACCTTCTCCAAAGCAGTGTGCCTTACCCTCTCTGAGAAGTGGATGGGGGGTCATGTAGAGGATAGGAGGAGGGGATGGGAGGAGGGGAGGGAGTGGGAACTGGGGTATGTAAAATGAAAAAAGACAATTTCTTTTCTTTTTTAAATAAAATAATTAAAAAACAAAAGCAAAAAGAAAAAAAAAATTTAGCTTGTCCAAAGTTTCAGGCTCTAAAGCCAACCAATATTCCTTCCCATTATGTGCTGTATCGCAACCCCATGAAAGGTTGGAAAGGAAGAAACTAAGAACATAAACACACAAAAAAAAATTAGAATAGACATTTCTTGTTTTAACTATCTTATAAAGGCTCAGATGTAAAAGAAATATCCTTGGGCTTTGTAAAAAAGCTAAAGAAAAGTGATCTCTTTCAGTCTTAAGGTCTCAACAATTACCAATTTAACACACACACTCTTCAGGTGTGGCCTGTGAAAGTCTTTCTGATCTAGACAGATCATGTCATCCTTCTCTCTTGGAATCTCTTGGTGATGATCACTTTTCACTGTCTCTGACCCACATACCAGGTATCATCTTTAGACTCTACGGATCCCTGCTATTCCAAAGCTCTCCTATTGCCATGCATACACTCTCTCTTTTTTTTTTGCATACATTCTCTTTAGATGACCTACCAATGCTTATAGGTTCCTAAAAACTTAATCACCTAGATGCCTATTCCTTACAATTGACCAAATATAACTGGTCACCAGGTCCTTTGTTTTTAATTTATTTTTTTTAATTTGTTTTTAATTTGTTTTTAATTTTGAGATAGGGTCTAACTATGCAAATCAAGCTGGCCTTAAACTCAGAGAACCTGTTGCTCTGACTGATTCCCGAGTGCTAGGATTAGAGGCATGCATGTGCCGGCATGCCTGATCCAAGTCCTTTCTTTCTGCTTTATCATTTTTTCTTTTCTGGCTGACAAGCAGCTCAGCTTTTATCAATCCCAACATAATCTTACAAAACTCTGCTGACCAGTATTCCTAACTTTATTCTTACCTATTCTAGCCTGAGTTTTAGTGTAAATAAGCTTTCTTAATACAAATGATTAATGTAAATTTTCTGCTTAAACCTTTAATTTTAAAAATATCCTACAGAAAACTTAATTCGAAGATATCACACATTCAAATTTAACTCCATAAAGAACTAGTTAAACTTTTGGCACAAGGACTCAGAAACCTATCCTTCTCATTCTTCCAATGTCTTACAAATAAACTGAGCCTTGGAAATGATTAAGCTGTGCGATTTCAGGTTAAAGTCCTATAAATTTCCCGTGAGATTCATTAATAAGCAAACCTTTATTGATCTTTCAGGCCTCAAATTTTATTCTTATTCATATATGTAACCTATGTTCCTTATTTAAATCATTACTTACAGTTCTCATGAATACTGGTAGTTTGAAACCAAAATTTAAAAAAAGCATTGCTCATATGGACACTGTTTGGGGAAAATTGTTAGTTAAGTGTCTGGAACACTAAATGGACAGCTTTGCTGCACCACTAGTAAGCTTTAGGGAGATGCTTACCCTGCTGGCCCTGGGGGGTCTGTGAGATGATAAACTGTGCTGGCTGCAAGTTGGTGGTTGGATGCACCAACACAAACTGCTGCAAGTTGAGATTTTGCTGTTGAAGCTGTTGCAATTGTTGAAGATCCTAAAAGCTCAGAAGCAAAAGATAGATTAGAGAGATCCAGAAATAAAAGCTGGCTTAGTTACAAGGTTCCTAGAAGATGACTTCTGACACATCAAGTAACAATGAGACAGTACTCAGCAGTTTTTCCCTGTGTCCTAACAGTCTGGCTTCCAGGACTATGTCAGTATGTGAGAAATCCTTGGGTCTCAGGCCAGAGAGAGGCTCAGTAGGTCAAAGAGCTTGCTGTACACGACTGGAGTTTGATCCCTAGAGCCCATGGTGGAAGAACAGAACTGACTTTTCTGAGAATTGTCATGACTCACACACATAGAAAAATAGCAAAAATCAAAACCAAAAAAACTCTACGGCCTCTGCAAAAAATTATTTTTGAGGACATGATGTATAGCATCACGACTTATGCTAAATCCAATTTTCAATAGTCACTTAAAATCTGTCAAAATGAATGAGTACAGAATAAATGTCTACGTTCTGAGAGTGCTGTTTTCAATTTTAAGACTCTGTTATTGTTATTAGTGTGTGGTGGGTTTGCACATGGCACACATACATAAGGAAGTCAGAAGACAACTGGAGTTAATTCTCTTATTCTACCTGTTACCATTTTGAAGGTTAATCTTGGATGTCAACTTCACTACCTCTGGAATTAACGAAAATGCAAGCAGTTGGGCATTGCTGTGAGGGACTTGATTGGCTCATTTGAGGTGGGGTAAGACCTGTGTAAATCTGGCCCATTTAAAAGAACACAGAAGAAGGAAGCTCTTGCTTCTTGTCTACCTGCTCTCACTCTCTCTGGTTAAGTCCATCTATCCTGTTGCTGAGGCACCCCTCTGCTGGCGTTAGAACCTACTTCTTCAAGAGTCCAAGAGAGAATGAAGAGTAGCAGAGACATCCAAATGTACCAATTGAACAACTGCTGGATCTTGGCCTTTTCTCTGAGAGACAGCCATTGCTAATAAATTCCCTTTCGATATGTACTCATTCTATAAATTCTGTTCCTTTAGGTCTGGTCTAAATGAAGTTCAAGATGGACTTTAAGAAAGCTTTTAAATATTTGACCCAATTTTTCTCTATAAAGTAAAATTTGAGAGTGCTATATCAAAATTTCCATCAATAAATTCAAAGACCTAATTCCTGAAATTTGACAACAGTTTATTCAACTCAACTGAGAATTCATAAGGTATAAGTGATCTTAGTTATATCAATTACAGATAAAGTCTCAGAGTTTACTTACTAAAATAATTTGTTTGATGAAGAAAATGGCCCAAATCAAAACACTATCTTGATACAGACTGTCCACGCAGCAATAAAGATTAGTTTGATTCTATTTCAAGTATCTAGTTAAACTCTTGTTACAGCTTAAATGTACTTCCCTTCTCTACTGGGGATATAAAGATAATTGCTTAGCTCTTCTTCTTCCGAGACAAGGTTTCTCCGTAGCTTTGGAGCCTGTCCTGGAGTTAGATCTTGAAGACCAAGGCTGGCCTCAAACTCACAGAGATCCGCCTGTCTCTGCCTCCCGAGTACTAGGATTAAAGGTGTGTGCCACCAATGCCTGGCAACTGCTTAGTTCTTAAAACTTCTTCGTATGTGTCATATCTAACTTCTCACACTCCTTGAGATAAAGGATTTCACTTATTTTCCTTTTTGGTACTATTCTTCATGATTCTTAAAGTAAATTCTTATTATTTTACTTTCAAACGTGAAAACTGAAACCCTATAACATTTTATTGCAGGTTCTCCATGGTCCTAATCATTCCACAGCAGAAAGAAGCTGTGCTATCTTTCTCATATGGTGGCAACATTTACTGTAGAGCACATGAAAAGAATTCTTCCCTGCCATGATTAGCTAATTAAGATAAAAACAGTAATCCCTTGCCTCTGAAATATGCCAGCTACTTACTCAAGAATTGTTTAACATAAACATTCATTTGTCCAAATAATCAGTTCTATATTTACAATATCAACTTAAATTAGCAAACAAGTATATTGTTTCTGATTCAGTGAAGAAGAATAATGCCTTCTTGATCTAGAGTTCCTTGGGCCTTTGAAGACCCACAGTAACAACCAGAAGGCTAACAATACTCAGTAGGCTATTTTCATTTTATCACTTGCTTGCTGCCCCTGTAACCTTGCACCTCACTCACCTGTGCAATCTGTATGGGTTGAGACAGGGGAATCTGCGTCATGGGTGTGGCAGCAGAGGCTGAGATGGTGGCCCCAGCAGCACTATGCTGTTGGCTGGCGGAGTGTTGCTGGACTGCAGCAGCCAGGAGCTGGGCCTGGGCCTGGGCCTGCTGAAGTAATAACTGCTGCTGGGCTGGTGTCAAAGTCAGCTAAAATAAGAACAAACAAGGGAAGGATTGAAGAAATGGGGTCTATGATGCAAGCAAACTGCTTTGAAATAGGTAACTCAAGTGGTATTAAGTCCTCACTACTCATTTTGAAATTACTAACATGCAGCTAGCCTGTCCACAAAAACTACTAGTACTAGCAGAACATTTAAATTAAAATAATAGTTCCCATTTCAGACAAAAACGTTTAGGCAAGAAAGGTAACTAGTACATAAAAAAAAAAACCCACAAAAAAACAAAAAACAGAAAAAACCCAAAGAATCAATGCTGACAGGGTATGCAAAGAAATGTATACCCAAGAGCAAGTGATTATTAGTCAGATGAATGAGGGACAAAAGGCTGCTGGATATGACCAGGAAGAGAACTAACAAGGTCCAGCTGTTTACTTAGAATCCCCACTAAATTTTACCATTTCAAGTATGTTTTGGATGTGACTAAAAAACATGAACTGCACTTCTTTCCTTTCCAAATCTCCCTACTGGACCTTCCTTCACCCAATCTTCTGTCATTAGAAAGCACTGGTTTGCAACTTTACAACCTCTCCAACTCTAGGAACCTCTAGGAAACAGTCTGGTAAGAGACATTCTTTTAAATGCAAATGAATCTTAATGCCCAGATTTAATAAAATCTTGAAGGTACATGAACCCGGCCAGAATCCTAAGTGCTTGTTACTAACTTAGATACTAGTCACCAAAAACCAAACTGTTATAGTAAAGCAAGAAATGTATTTAGAACAAACGTTCTAATATAGCATTTAAAAAATGCTTACATAAAAGTGGTGTGTTGGACCTTTCTTTTGATGGTATGTTCTGGATGAACAAGCAGGATAATACCTATATCTCTGTGAACAGTCATTTAGCAGAACAGCCTGCCTTCTAACCTAACAGAATCCAATTTATCCAAACAATTTGTGCATTAGAAACGTAAGAACCAAAGCAAAACTATTAAAAAATGCAATAGTCTTCAAAATGTGTGTGTATATTTCTATTTGATATGATACAGGTACATATATGAATCTCTGGTGATGGAGTATCATAAATAAATGTGTAACAGGTCTTAGAAGGACTGTCCATATAAAAAAAATTCTGAAGGTTGATATAATATGAATTGATTAGTTTTTTTCTTACCATTCCCTTGACTCACTCTCCTCACAAAAGAGCTTACAACACATAAGCTTCCAACATTGAAAAATTATTTCAAGTAATAGCTTAGAACAGGAATCACTAAACAGTTAAACAAAAGCTTAACAGTCACAAAGGACAATTTGTTACCAGTAAAAATAAGTACCATTTATTGAAGATTACATGCCAAGCACTGTTTTAATACCTTTATATAAATTGCAATGGTACTTAAAATAGTTATTATTAATATTTCTACTTAGAGGAAGGAAAACTAAGGTACAGGGACATAAAGTAACTAGTCCTTTAGTAATTAAGTAATTACACAGACAGGATATAAGACCACATGTTTTATTTTAAGATATTACATAGCCACTTGAAGATGTTTTACTTTCAGAATATTGGTCCACTGTTTAACTATTCTGCAACAACACAACTCCAATTTTATCATACATATGGCAACGACTTCCTTGCACAATGAAGCAACACCATTTTTTAAGGTGAGTTAAAAAATTTGCAGTTTATTCTCAACATTTGCAGCTGTAACAAAAGAAATCATACAAAGTAATGACAAAGATAATTCTTCTTACAGAGCTTCTGTATCCAGGAAGTTCCTTAAAGATAAAATAGTGTCATGCTAGTGCCAGCTGCAGGGAAAGAGTTTCAATACAATACAAGCCAGTGGCAATTCAGACACAGAGGAAGTTCAGTACAATTTTTCAGTGGAACTTACCCCAGTTATCTGTCCCCCAGCCAGCATTAGCTGGGTCTGGGGAATGGCTGACTGCACTGAAGGCTGCTGGGAAGGCTGGCTTGGCTGCTGGGAATCCCCCGATTCTTCACTAGATTTAGACTGAAGTGGGATTGGATAGGAAATAAATATCTCAAGTAGGTGATTAAAAGAAATGTACTTCTAACTCTAAAAATTCAAGGATTATTTAAAATATGTGCTATTCAATTTTCTGTTCCTTTTTTACATGCCTTTTCTTTCTACTTAAGTGCCCTTACAACTTTTTTATTCCAATCCCAGAAAAGTTGCAATTATGAATTTTTAAAAGAAAAAGTAAATTGGTCCTCCATGAATCAACAAAACCTTTTACAACCCCAAATTCCCAGTTCAGGTAATGAAAAGAAAAAGAAAAAATGATTTTCAATTCATTTTAGAACCTTCAAACTAACATATATCTTGTGGCAAGTCTCAAACTTCTTTATATACTATATTATAGTTAAATAACTTGACCCAAAGAACTTTTTATCTACTATTTTAAAAGAACTCTAAATGCAGCATCTTCCACCAAGTAATTTACAAGCTTGAAGGAAAATGATATAGTCAAGAATTTACAGGTCCTTAAATGGCCAGAGAGAGAAATTTTTATGGTAATTAAAACTGGTTATACAGAATATTAAAATTTTGCATAGATTTGCATATTTTCTACCACCTGTTTGGGAGATTGCAGCAAAGCTAATTAACATAAAAGCTCTGATTAATGCTGCCAGTCACCGAAAGATAATTACAGTGCAGGACTGTAAACATTCTGCACTGGAGATATAGCCTGTTTGCCAACATCTCTCTAAGGGATATTAAGTTTACCATGGCAACCAAGGCAATTTTCTGCCTCTTCTCCCTCAGAAAGAAGAGTCACATTATCTCCTTTTTTCTCCTTATTTCTATGTGTTACTAGGTCCATATTCCAAAAGGTTTCATAGAAACCCAAAATCAACCCAAAATCTTTAGTCTTTAATGGCACTGAATCAATCTTCTAGAATATTGTCCTTCTCTTCTCACCATTAGTTTCCTAAACATTACACTGGAAGGCTGACTGAAATGTTAAGGGAAAAATACTTGAGCTGTGAGTCTTTCTAGCTGATGGTCTACAGAAGCAAAGCAAAGCAGCCAAAAAAAAAAAAAAAAAAGAAAGAAAGAAAGAGAGAAAACAAGATTTATAATTTTGACTATCTTGCTTTTTTTTTAAAATAAAGATTCTTTATCATTTTAAATTATTCGTATGCGTGTGTGTGTGTGTGTGAGAGAGAGAGAGAGAGAGGAAGAATGAGAGAATGAATGTGCATATCTGTGTGTGCAGATGTCTACAGAGGCAAGAAGAGAGTGTCAGATGTCCCAGAGTTATGCTTATACATGGTTCCGAGCCTTCAGGTATGGGAACTAAACTGGAGTCCTCTGTAAATCCTCTTAACCAGAGCCATGGCTCCAGTGTCCTTTAAATGTTACTTCTGTTTAGATTAAAGAAGATCATTACAATGTTATCAATGTCTTTATTTAAATACAGGTAAACAAAACTGAATCCCAGGAGGCTGTGATTTGTCAAAGGTTACTGGTAATTACTGGTACAAAGAGATTTTGAAACCCAAGTTCCCTGATTTTCTGCCCAGTGTTTCTTGAAAAATGATAAACAGTCTAGGAAAAAAGGATACTTAAGAAAATATTTGGTTTTGTGTTTAGTATATGTTCCTGAACTTGATTCTAAAATTCTGAAAGTGAACTTTCACTTGCCCACTGCTGGCTCACACACAGTAGCAGATTAAAGTGATTTTCATTAATGACAATTATCACCAACTGAATTCAGCAATAAAAATATAAAAATAATAAAATTAATAATTACTAACAATCACAAGTAGTTCCTATTCTAAATTCTATTCTCATTATACAAAATTATGAAAAAATTAATAGAAGATATAACCTATGTGTTCATATTTCAACTTACCTGAACGTTTAAAGACTGAGCAGCAGCCTGTAAACTTGTCCCAGCAAGCTGAACCTAGAAGAAAAGTAATCAACGGACATAATAATATATAAAATAGTTATTCATCACTAGAGGATGCCATCAAGAAATAAATTCAATACAAAATGTATACCACTGAGTTAGACTTGAACATACAAATAAATATTTTATGGGGTTAAAACTTTACATACAAACTCAACAACCCCAACTGAAAACTGCAGAAATTTCTTCTAAATTAGCATCATCATCAATTGAGCACTATCAGTTATGCCACACTTGCACTGGTTGGGTGCTCCTTATTTAAAACTCCATTTGCAGTCATAGTTCTGAAAACCTAACTTATATCTTCCATACTGCTTTAAAGAACACATAAAAACAAACTATCAACATGCACTGTTTTTATCATTATAAACAAAAGAACTAGTTAAGGGAATCTACCCTATAAGCCATACATGGAAAAAAACTGTCTTAATATTCAATATTCATATTCCAAAAGTTCAAATCATAGTCATATTAAAGAACACACATGCAATTAGAAAACCATCATTTGGCAACCATAACATCAACCTAATTTTAAAAAGGGTCATCAACATATTATCTAGCTATCAGGCCAAATGAGAATAAGGTATTTCTCCACATATCTGAGAATTACAAAGGGTACAACAGTAACTTCACAGGGAGGGCTACCTGGCAAGCAAATGATCAGGTTGAACAATTAACGCTACCAGGAATGAAATTTGCCTTCTGTTGCAAGCACTGTGAAGACTGTACTTTTTATGTTATAATCCTACCAAAAATGGATAACCTGAATTAAAAAAAAAAAACACTCAGTATGACAGGAAAGCAGAAAAGCTCAAACTGAGAAACCTTGATCTGTACTCTTAAGAATGTTAAGTTTTTCAAAACTAAATATTTATTTATTGAAGGAGTTGGTTGTCTCCTAATATCTCGCAGCCTCTCAAAGACTAATGTCTTCAAAGTAAAGAAAGACTAAGAAGGGAGAAGAAAGATTATAAACTAGACTAAAATAAATGCAAGATTAAAACTGAATCATAATAATGAAAATAAATATAGAACATGAAAGCTATTTTATAAGGATCCAGGCAACTAGCTGAACATAGATGCAAAGAATTATGAATCATTCCAACTTTGCTTCATTTAAAAACAAACAATAATAGTTTTCCTAGATTTTTACGTATTTTCAAGTAGAGCAGTTTTTTTTTGTAAATAAAGAAAATAGTTTGGTAGTCTAATAACATTTTGATGAAAAGAGTAGTAATGTAAATTAAATGAACAGAATACATGCTCTATTTTAGATTGGGGGAAATCACATGGTATCAGGGTATTAAGTTAAAATTTGTTTTAAAAATCTGAAATTAAGAAGTTAACAGTCAAGCAAGTGTCTGAGTAGTCACCTAAATTACAGTGGCTTTAGGGTAGTGGTAACTGGTAATTCTGAATGACTAAGTTCCTTACTAGTATCACTTAGCCATCACAGACTCAAGCTCATTTTCATGAAAATAGTAACCCAGCTGTTATATATGTCCTCCCCAAAATACTTTTTTGTTCACAGTTGTAAAGTCAATAGTTATGTAGAAACTATTAATTCTACATGAATTATTCAGCAGGATAGTTACACATGATTTGAAATAACTTCCCTAGCATTTTATGTCTCCTTTAACAAGCATTCTCAACTATGGCCGAGTGAAACTGTCTACCTGGTGAAGATGTCCAAGGAAAGCCTGGGCCTGGGCTGTTGAGATTGCTCCTCCAACAGGAACAGGCTGTTTCTGGAAGTCCAGGCCATTCGTCTGAGTGTCTAGAAAGCAAGCAAAATAACTATTAGGTGAAATAAATTCAAATGAAGCAAAGTACTCAAATTCCAGTTACCAACATCCATTAGGAAATTGTTTTGAATAAGCACTTTTCTAAGTATCTTCAAAGAGAAGAAGGAATTTGGAAAAAGGGAAATAGAACATTATGTAAGAGGAGTCAGAAACTCTGTAGCAAAGGAGACAGGAAGAGCCAGAAGATGGAGAGAAGTGCTATAAGATGCTGTTTTCTGGATGTGCAATGGCTATGGCACTCATGAATTCATAGCACGTGTGGTTACCTCCTTAATACCTCCACAAACTAGCCAAAATCCTAGCACAATGAGGACGTATCATCCAGGCTCCATCCCTTAATGAGGAGCCACTGGCAGTTGGTAGTTGATATAGGAGGGAGAACCAATCTATTTTGAGGGTGTTCCTACTGGATTTCCTGTGCTCCAGGAGGTGGCCCCAAACCCATACAAATACAGCCATCATTACCTGGACTTTATAGACTATCAAAACAAAAAAATAGCTGGGCAGTGGTGGCGCACGCCTTTAATCCCAGCACTCAGGAGGCAGAGGCATTTCTGTAAGTTTGAGGCCAGCCTGGTCTACAAGAGCTAGTTCCAGGACAGGAACCAAAAGCTACGGAGAAACCCTGTCTCGAAAATCAAAGGAAAAAACCCCAAAAATAAATACACACATGCAAAAACAAAAAAAAACCAAAACAAAACAAAAAGGCATGAAGTTAGAACAGGGACATGTTAGGAAATATTAGGGGAGATAAAGGAGAGAAATAGGGAAATACTTTACTATGTATATGCACGGAATTCTCTAGAATAAAGAAAAATTATAATGAAAAATAAAAGGAAATGCAATAAAATAGAGTTGTGGTTTGAATGAGAATGGCCCCCATAGGCTCATATATTTGAATACTTGGTACCTAAGGTGTGGCCTCATTGGAGGAGGTATGTCATTGGTGGTAGGGTAAGTATGTAACACCAACAATGCCCAAGAAGCAGGCACACAAAAAGATGACTGACAATCGCCAAGAATTATCGAATACACAGAGATACAGTGACTGGAGCAGCCAGGAATCTATTCATTGGGTTCATGGCCAATGAATCATGTATGGTGATTATTATTAAATACATGAGGGTCTAGAGACCCTGAAAAAACATCAAAGTACGTCAAGAAATGATAGGCCAGAGCCAAAGATTCTGTAGAATAGTATTACCAAGGTGAATCTTTGTAATTCTGTATCCAAAGTTACTTAATAATGCAAACAAAGAAAAAAAAAAGCACCGAGAAACAAATTAAGCTGAAGAAAATAGAAGACAGTGATAAAAGTAGGACCAATCAATACTTAATGAAAGTGAAAAACAGCACGCAACAGAAAAGTATCAGTTTGATTCTTTCAAAGGAATCATGTATGTTTCTGGTAAGAAGAATCAAAAAAAATAGGGGGAAGCAAGTAAACCATTTAAGGACAGCAGAAAAAAAATATCACTATGTTGCAGGTCAGGAGATGCACTGTGTAAAGCATTTGCTCTGCATGCCAACTAAATACCAGACACAGTAGCACAGGTAATCCTGAGAGGAGATGGAGGCAGCAAAATCTTTCAAAGCTTCTAGGTCAGCTATCCTGGCATGACCAGAATTGAAGAAGAGAACCTGTCTCAAACATGGTTAGAGGTAAGAACTGTCACCTGAAAATGTCCGGTGACTTCCACATATGGATGCATACACATGTAAAAACAAGATTTGATAAATCACTTCACATTAATAAAACTAAAACTTAAGAAATGGATTACTTTCCAGAAGACAGAATTTATCAAGACCGACTCAAGAAGAAACAAAAAATACAAGAGTCTCATAACATTGAAAGAAACCAAATTAGTAGGTAAACAAGCAAATAAACAAAAAATTTCATCCAAAGAAAACACAATGCCTAGATAACTTTATCAAGGAATGGTTCCAAAAACTATTATTATTCAATGAATAATTAATTCAATTATTTACATATTTTCCCAGAAAACAACAACAAAAAACAGGAAAACACATCCTATCTTATTTACTGAAGTCAGTGTAACCTAGATAACGTAACTCAGTACAGAAAAATATAAAAAAGGAAAAAATACATGCCAGTTTTAGTCATAAACACAGTCACCTTCAGAAACAAAGACAGGAAAAGAAAAAATATTTGAGACGACAGAATGATGACTGAGATGAAATGAGTTCAGGTACAGCACCACGCTCCAGTCACACGGCATAGGACCAGCTAAGATACTTGGATTTTTGTGAAGTTACGAGTCCTTGTCTCTCACAAAGTTCCATTTCTCCCTTCAGAGCCATCAAGGAAGGAACAACATGCAAAAGTTTCCTCCCCATATTAGTAGATCATGGCACTAGGCATCTTTTTGTTTTCAGTTGTTCCCCAGCCCTTGAACATAGAAGCAATACATCTCTACCTCTTTAATACAAAACACATTTTGAACTTCTCTAACATTTGGTGGGCAGCAGGAGAAATAAAACGGAACCAATTAACACACAATACAGATGAATCTCAAGTCTGTATATTTGGTCAAAGAGAAACTCCAAGACTACATTTGGATGATTTAATTTCCATGACATTTAGAAAAAGACAAAATTTTTTGAAAGGGGCCATTAAAAGAAAAAACTAACTGACCTTGCTTTATAAATAAGAGAAAAAATAGAAATATTTCCACCATATAATTACACAGTAATTAAGACTGAGATTGAATCTTTTTACATTCCCCGCCTCGCCTCCCATTCTTCCTCAAATATTCTGATATTTTATTACCAAGGAATCCAAGTCAATGCTTACTTGAAAAAACAATACTTAAGTAACTAATCGGTAACTGGAGCAAACTGGGGTTATAAGGAGACATAAGGTGTCACAAATGCGGGCTTTTGGAGTCTATCTCAGATTATTGCAGTTAAACTAACTACTTCTTGAGGATTTATTTATTATTTTATTTAATGAGTAAGAGTGTTTTGCCAGCATGGACATATATGCATCATGTACACACAGTACCTGGAGGCCAGAAAAGGTTAGACTGAGTAGAAATCAACTCAGGCCCTCTTCAAGAGCAGCATGTGCTTGTAGTTACTGAGACGTCCCTCTAGCCCCACTCACTAATTCTTTTAAATTGAAGCAACACTGATAAGCCAAAAGGTACAGGTGGAAGGAGGCTCAGCTCAGGTAGTAACTTGCATAGAGAAAAGTAATGCTGACCTCCACTGCTTGAAGCAGATCACATATCTGAGCATATCCCTGGTGTTTGACAGTCCTTAGCCTGAGGTTCACAAGGGCATCCAATTTTTGGGATCACCAATCTCCATTCATTGTTGTAGAGTCCCAAAATTCTGAAGCTCCTGAGGTTTACTTAATACCCACAACTGCATGCTACAACAAGTGATTATCACCTAGGTCTTCAAAGTATAATGACAAGCCCATCACTTACTGTTGTGGTTTCCCACACTACCAAACCATCAGGAGATACTCCCAAACAGAGCAGTACTCACCTCAGGAGGTAAAAGCCGCAAAGTTTCTAGAAGGTGGTAGAACCCAACCAATCTACAGATTACAAAGCTAAGTATAGACAGCATGGGTCACTGGTAGGAAAGAAGGGAAAACAGTAAAAAGAAGACAACTCTTCAGCGTGGGCTCAGCACAAGCGTTAGCCACACAAAAGACAAGGACAAAGTTCACCTGATCCTCTAAAATAAAACTGTCTATCTTCAACTTTGAGGACCCAGTACCTTCATCTCTTTCCCTCTGTACTTTCTTTCTTCTTTTCATTATATTCTTACCAATATTTTTACACCAACATATTCTAAACGTTTTATTTGTATTTCATTCTACACACTCTTTTCGGTACTACTGTTCATTTCTCAGCTTATCTTTCCTGATCTTCCCTGCCTACAGCATTCTTCTCCCCTTCTTCTTATTTAATTTTTCCTCTACTCTATTTTCACCCCTTTCCTTGGCTCCTTCTTTATCTTATTTCTATATTTATCTAATTTTTAGTACATACAAGATTAGCTTTCCATTGTCTGGTATATGCTCATGGGTTACAGACTAGAGGGCATTAACTGAGTTTTAAGTGTATTTCTGTCTCTTGTACAGTCTGCTGTTGTTGCTTTTACAAGTTTGTTTTCTCTTCACTGAATTATACTGGAGATTGATTCCTCAGACTAGGCTGTAAAGACTCCTAAATAAAACTGGAAGTGATGTCCAAGACAACAGATACACAAATTACAACCCAGAAACACAAAAACTAGGGGAAAAGTAAGGCAATATTACTTCTTTAAAAGATCATAACTCAATACCGAATTCAAAGATACTGAAATAAGCACAATTTCAAAAGTTCACCAGTAAGAATAATCAATGTCTTTGAGGAGGACTCAACCAAGCAGACAAATTCAGTCTAGTCTTTGGAGAGTTGGCAACATAGAGGAAAAACTCAACAAAGCAGATGAGAAAATGAGCAGTACTGGAGAAAATGTTAGCAGTATGGGAGAAAAAGTAAGCAACACAGGAAAATTTTCAGCAAAGAAATTGAGACTCTGAGAAAAACAGAAAAGAATATCAGAAACAAAAATACTCAATGAACAAAATAAAATACCAACTTAAAATATTACCAGTAGACTTACCCAAGCAGAAGAAAAATTAGGAATGGAGGACAAGACTAAAAAAACACTATATACTCAAACATCAATGTGGCGTGCACATTGCTGGTGGTTGTGGGGGGTGGGGACACAAAAACCACAACCAACGACCCTGGGGAACTAGTAAGAGACCAAGCCTAGAGGGAGGAGTAGAGGGAGGAACCGAGATTAACAACTAAAAGCAGAGAATCTCATCTAAAAAAAATTAAAGCAAAAAAATTCTTCAAATTAAGAGAAAGAAACAGGAATTCAAATGTAAAAGACATTTAGAACCTGAAATAAAAATGAAGAGAGAAATATACCACAATGG